CTCTTCAAAACCTGTAGTATTTGATGTTTTGATGGATGGTCAAGTTTGATATGCAAGGCGGTGATAAGACCATCAATGGCAGATCTGGGTACGACAATTAGGTCAACCGAAGACACAAGAGGATCAGTATGTTTTACGACAAGTATACCATCCTTGGCAATAGATACAGAGTTGAGGTAACGTTTGACATCTTTAACATTTGTTAGTTTCTTTGAAGGCCTAGTGCCTTGTAATAAATGTGAATGAACGCGTCTAAGGTCTTGGCACTCTGACTGAATATCTTTCCAAGCTGATCTGGATGTGAATGGTAAGCGGCTCTTACTGTTAAGTACATCCTCTATGTTAATCGCTCTAACTACAGAATCCTCAGTGATATGAATAAATGTACATATTTGGCAAGTGGGGTTTTCACATTCTGGTGCGTTGCGGCTGGCAAAATCAGATGGGACATTGGCAGAACCAGCAAGATGTTTAACATGTACTTGATATCGGCTAACAACAGAAAGAAAGGATGTCACTCTTGGACTAGCAGAAAACTCGCCTCTACATAACTTATCAATTGCTTGAACACACGGTTTACTGTCTGTTAGCACACACGTCTGCTGACTGGACTGTATAATGTATGGACTGAAGTGCTTGACTGCGGCTGCAATGCCAAGAGCCTCTATCTCACAAGGTAACCAAGTGACCTGGTGTTTTCGTAACTTGGCACTGAAGAATCCAGCGAGTAACAGCTTGCCATGCCGCGTAACGTATAATGTAGCGCCAATGCCACGTTTCTTGACTGACCCATCAGTGACTATCCAAAGTTGGTCTGTAGGTCTAGGAAGGACAATTGACTTATTTGAATTTAGTGCTGACTGAGTGTTTTGAAAATGTTTAAGTGAGGCTTCATCCCAAACGATTTTGTCTGAAGAGTTCCCACCAGCTGTAATGTTGTCGAGTGGAGCTATCAATTGCGAACAACCAGGTAGAACACGACCCAACACCTTGTAAGCGCCAATGTATGATCGTAACCCATGGACAGTTTGAGGGGGTGGACAAGCCGAAAGAGAAGCTATACGATGGGGGCTTGCTGAAAATTTTCCTTGGGACCATATCCATCCAAGGATCGTAGTGGATCTTGGACATATGATGGTTTTTGTGGGCTTCAGTTTCAAGTTGTTTTTCTGTAAAGCATCTAATACACGGGTCCAATTGGCAAGGAGTTCGTCTGTAGTGTTTCCACCGATGTACAAATCATCTGCAAGTTTCGCCACAACACCTTCTTGCAATAAATCACCTAGCACACGACACATGAGTTCTTCCAATGCTGTTTCTGAGCCTGGCATACCCATGGCACATCTTGTATAAACGCGTATGCCTTTGTAAGGTGTCGCTACTCCGCAATACTTCATGGACTCCTTCGACAAAGGAATTTGGTAGAATGCGCTTGTTAGGTCAGTTACTATTATGTATGTCCATTGACCTATTGTACGAAGTATAGTGTCTACGTCTGGCATGAGTGAAGGCTGAGGTTTAGCATAACGACCAACATCAGCAAACGCTGTGACCAACCGAAAACCTCCCTGACCTTTTTTTACCAAGAAAGAAGGGTTTAAGTATTCAACTGTAATTGGGATATCTTCTGGGCGCGAAAACACTCCTTGCTGTTCTAAATCATCGAAGTGTTCTTGTAGCTCAACTAACTTATCTCTTGCATATTGAGGTAGGCGTCCTTTACGCTGAGGTGGTTGAACAGGGCCCATGTTAACAACTGCTTTGAATGGCCCAGAAAAACCATTATATCCAGACAGAGTCTTATCAAATACACTATCATATTGCTCTAAGATGTTCTGGAAACACTGGCGAGTATTTTCAGGTAGTATAGCATCTGGGTCAACTGATACGGTATCAGAGAAATGATTATTGGTAGTCATCTTGGCATGACAAGTACGAACCAGGGGTGTGTCTTGAAAGTCTTGAGCTTTTGTATCATAAGAGTCAACAGTGTGGCGAACTTGACAAACATGTTCATTTTTATGCACATGGATGGGATTGGTCGTTGAATTCAGTAGTCTTACTTTACCAGACACTGCTTCAATAACTTGTGGAAGTGGCCATTGTTTGTTACTGGGCTCTATGGCAAGTGTGCCATCGGGATCAATGTTGTCTGGCAAAGTGACCTCCAGGTAAGATCCCGGCCATGTAATTGAAGACATATTGGAACTTGGCCTAAGGACAAAAGCTTGGGTCCTTCGAACACTGTGAGAAACCGAGTCAGGTACCTCTGGTGCATAAAACACTGTATCAGAACCATGAATAACAATTTGTTGCTTTGCAGGTCTAACCATAATGTCATTTGTTGCCATGAAAGGTATTCCACCAAGTAAATCCACATCCAAGTTTTCAACCACTAATGCCTCAACAGTTAAACTCTGTTCGCCACGAGTAAGAACTATATGTGTCTCGCCAGCCACCTTTAATGGGGTGGAACCATCTGCCTGGAGTGCACGTTGATTGCTTTTCTTAATAGGTACTCCCATATAGTGTGCAACAGACAATTTCAACATGTTGATTTCTGCTCCAGTATCTAGGGTAACATTCAGAGGAAAATGTTTATAAAATGTTTTTAATGTTGGAGACTGTTTGGTGCTTACACGTCTAGAAGTAGCCGAATCTATACCATAGCATTGAGATTGCTGATTGTCATCTTCGTAAGGCTCTTGATCGATTTCCGGATCCCCCGCAGTTTCGTCCGAGACAGTTTGACGAACACTTGAAAGATAACGCTTGTCTTCCTCAGGTAAGAATTTGCATTTGCTGAGAAAATGATTGAATGATCTTCGGCCAGCTTGTTTACATAAGGGACACGAAGGGGTGGCACGAGAGATTGATCGAAATTTTCCGTTGTCTTTAGAACCTTTAAAAGCAGAAACGCATGACTTTTGCATCAGCTACGGCATGTATTTCGTCTAGCAAACTGTCTAAAGCGAGAGAAATTTCAGGCTTAAGTGTGGCTAAAGTCCTTGAACGAAGTTCTGTTCCGTAGCGCTGTTTTACTAGTGCCGGCAAACGATTGTCTATTAATCTCAACCATGTTAATACAACCAAGTTTTCGACTGTTGGGGTAATCTCTTCGTCTTCATCTGGTACAGTTCCCATATTAGGCCACCATCTTTCTTTAATGTGTTATCTTCGATAAAACTTGATAAACGCTGGTATAAATCCTCTGGTCTCTCTCCTGGTTGAAGTTGTATACTGTCAAAATCCAGAAAATGTGCTCCTGTTGACTGGAATCCGAAATGTAAACGAATTGTCTGCCAAATAGTTTTTTATTGACGTTGCATTTTTCACGATAGTGTTACGAGAAATTATTGGGCAGAAGTTTGCAATTTGCCCTAGCATGAGTTCTAGATAAATCACTTTTTTGTGCAGCTGTGCGCCTCTTTGCCTCAGGAACTGATTCGCCATCATCAGTAAATCCGCGTTCTGGGTTTGTGTTTGTTTTTCGCTCCCACTGAAATCCCTCAACTAGGAACGGTGCAAAATTGGGATCCAGGGACAAAGTATATTGTAAATTTTGTCTCCAAGACTCGAACGATGTAATAGTTTCTTGTTTGGTCAAACACCATTGCTTGGGTGCACGTACATGAGCCATTATTGTAAATGTTTATGTGTTTTGTCACTACGCAGTAGAGTAGAACTATCCGTTTTTTTTGCACTTATTTTGACGTGAAATGTCCACAACAGTGTCCGCAAATTACTGGGTTGCAGATTGAGAGTGAGTCCTTTTCCTGCTGCCACCACGCCAGTAAGGTTTAACGGTATAGAAACACACAAATATATGAGTTTTGTAGTTTATTAATATTGCCTAAAGAATCGGCAACAAATGGCGTACATGTAATACGAAGGGGAACAACTCTTTCACAATAATGTTCTGTATATGTCCGTACCATACCGTACGCTGACAAACCGTACCTGACTACACTATGGCGAAAGCTTCTTCGTTTCAATAAAAGCTTTATATGACCTATCACTACACATAATTTTATAATTGTAGGCTAGAAGTAAATGTGTATTATTAAATGCTGAAATAAATTGTCGTTGTTACTGTTGTTGTTGATGATGATTATTTCAATGAAAATCGTCCAACGGTGTTAGAATAATACGTATCAAGCAATTTAACACAGGATTATTTCTCGTGTAAGTGTTGACAATTTGGACCGCTCAAGTCGTTGTAGGGGGCGTGAGATATGTTGCACTTTAACATAATCTCACGTAAACAGACCCAATCAAACCGAGTTTGTAATTGTCAAATAATACTGTTGTTTACATCATTTCTATGATGTTACAAAAAAAAAGAAAAAAGAAATATAAAAATTGAATCCCTTGCTTCTGAAGGACAATCCTTGTTAAAGACCCCCACCCCGATTTACTTGTGTTGTGTGATCTTTCAGTCGAAAATGTGTAAATAAATATTGGTTATAGTTGTAAATGTACTTTGATAAAAGTCGTTATAATATACTGTTATACAGTCTGACACAAAATCCGTTAAATTATCACCGTAAATTACTTCAGTTGAAACTGTTTTATTTATGAAATAATGATCACCATTGGTAGTCATCTAACACTTACAGGGTAATCTCAGTTAACCTGAAAACATCTAACATTTACAGGGACATCTCAGTTAACCTGTAAACATATAGCATACGGCTTCTTTATCAAAGTATATATAGCGATCTCACAAAAAAATAAATGGTCGGACCTCTGACGTCATCTTGAGACTTATATTATCAAAAGGCCACTTTAGTAAGAAGGAAATACATTTTTGTCGCTAAATGTGATGTATATTTGGAACGAAATTTACTCAAGATAATGTAAAATGGACCATGAAATTATTGGCCTTATATGGTACAGCGCTATTCCTGTTTAATTCTATTACAGCTATAAAACTTCACAAGACCTTTACGACAATTCTCTATATAAACCCAGTGGTTTCCATCAGTAATCTCGCAGTATTCACCTATCTGTTGAACATGTCGCACATGTTGTTGTATATTATTCTCTTCATTATTGCTGGAGGTTTGTTTACTTGTACAGGTATTTATATAACATACTAATATATTACATGTGTAACTTTTATACATTTATTACCAGAAAAAGTGCACATACACAGATCAGTATTCATTTTAAGTCAAATATACATGCATCCTTGTATATACGAACATTCTTGTCTGCCCGAAAAATATTTAAAAAATGATTAAATATAAATAAAGAAATAAATAAATGAATGATAATATAAAAAAAGTCAAAAGCAAACATTGATTCAAGACTGGAGTGATGCCGTGTATCATATAATTTCATCAATACTATCATGCATATAATTGTATCATTACGTCTTCTGGTTTTTTTTGGGTTTTTTGTTTGTTTTTTTTTTTTTTTTTTTTTTTTTTTTTTTTTTTTTTGTTTTTTGAAAGTTTGTTTATAAGTTACTAGTAAACGTAAATATATCTAGTTAAATGTTTTACATCGGAATACATTTAATGTATTTTGTTATCAAAGTCAATGTTATTTTGTTTACTTTTTTTCTGGTATGCGAAATGAAATTAAAGTTTTGGATTTTTTCATAAATCGAATTTTATGTATTAGTAATTACACTATTTAAATATACACCTCTTTATAAAAAGTGTTTTTCAATTTTCAATGCTTCTCAGCTAATTCAATATTACATTTTTTCTTCCGCCCCAATCCTATTTTGCAAGAATACTTATTGCTTTGTGTAAATTGTAAACTGTTAATTTTTCAATTAATTTTCAGAATTTTTTATTTTGTATTTTTAATATTTTTTTACTTATTGTGATTGTAAATTTATCGAAAATAAAAATTTTGACTGAATTTCATAAAATGGAAATTCGATTTCCTTTTTTGTTTTCTAACTATTACAGACCTCATTTTTCATTTTCAAAGAGAAAAACAATGACACTGCAGGCAAAACTGAAACAAACAAAATTAAAAATAAAATTCAACGTACACAATGGATTACATAAAAAAGCATTTGCATGAAATTCGTCAAAGCACACAATAAATGTCACCACATTGCATAAAAAAGTCAAATACTTTATTGGCATAAACATTTTACACGTTTATCGCCAAGTATTATGAATGGCGATTATTAATGTAACATAAAACATTGCATAATTATGCAATTACAAATTTAGTAAAAAATACATGTACAAAATGCATAATATTTAAGTACAGACAGACAGACAGACAGACAGGCATATACTTTTATTTACAATCAGGTTCTACAGTACATATACATGAGAACAACATGATTTATTTACTTAGACAAATATAGAATATATATATATATACACATGGCAGTTTGCATGCAGATAATGGTATGAATATAAATTGTGGAAAAGTTATTTACTAAATATTTTTTTCAACAAAGTGGACAGTTTAAGATTATATACTTATATCAAATTTTTATGGTCATCAAATCTTAAATTGTACAATCACTTTAGCGTTTATACAGCAATTTACGTAGTTCTACACATTCACAAGCGTGGTACTGAAAGGTCAGTAATAGTAGATCTCGTGCGACTTGTAGATGTGTATTCACGTGGGTTTTTACAGTTTATAAATAAAGAAATGAACGGATTAACACATGAGTTGAAAAAGTAACATCATATAGATTCGTTCGATTGACTGGGTAAGTTAACATTTTTTTTTTTTTTTTTTTTTTTTTTTTTTTCAATTTGGAAATCGTTGCTTTATGTTTATTCAATAATTGCTAAAATTAAATAACATAACGGGTGACAACTGAAGAACTGTAAAATAAAGTAAACAAAAACAAACTAAGTTTACTGTAAGAATAGGTAAAATTGTTTGATCGAAAAGCTTAAGTTGAAGGTCAATAGGTAAGTCTAGATTGCATATTCTACTATATAAAAGATGCATAGCTTTATTTGCTTGAGAGACAAGCGATTTTCTAGAACTAAGATAACTACCCGAGGACGAAATACCACTCCCAAATATTTATACTCTTTAACAATTTCAAGGGTTTGCCATCAAGAGTGAAGTGAAAATTTTCGGGTTTGTTCGAGCCCCAAAAAAACATGACCTTCTACTAACTCATATTCATTTCAAGTTTCCATTCTTTACAATAATTAGAAAAATCATTAAGTGTTGATTTTAATGATATTTTGTCCTCGCTAATAATAATGGTGTCATCTGCATATAACAGTACAAAAAGTTTTAAATACACATCAAAATCATTACTTTGGTAATGCAAGGTTATTCCTGGGTTATTTTGATATAGATAACTTTCAAGATCGTTTAAATATATAGAAAACAAAATCGGAGAAAGATTTTTTCCTTGGCTTACTCCGCTTAAACTAGAGAAGAAAGGAGAATTAAAATTTGAAGAGGCCACACATGATTTTATATCTGCGTACATGTTACGTATTACTTGAAAAATTTTCCCATTTATACCTGTTTTATAAATTTATACCATAAACCCGTGCACCAAACTTTATCAAAAGCAAGCGAAAAATCAATATATGATACAAAAAGTTTTTTCTTCTGTACCCTAAGTTTATCTATCAAAAATGTAAGTGTATATACATGGTCTGCCGTTGAGTACTTTGCTCGGAATCCAGCTTGATTTTCAGATAAAATATTATGAACGTGGCGTCTTAAGTTGTCATATTGCCTTGACGTAGTATGTTTAACGGGCTTTTTCCCTCTGGGAGTGTTTAATTGGACAGCACTTATCTGGGTCTTCCTATTGTTAGTTAGTGGTGGATCTGAGCGTGCTATACTTTTGTTCGGGGATAATGTCTCTACAGTAGCGGGAACATTATTGCAGCTGAATGCAGCATCTTCGCTGCGGTTCTGGCGGGTTACCTCGTGTATTATTTCATGTTCAAGGTCCATTGCTTCGGACAAATCTGAATCACCATCCAGTTGTTCGAGTTGTTGACTGAACGCCTTTTGCATAGAGTTGTATTTGGATTTGACCGCCTCGGAAATACGCTTTGACGGATCAGAGTCTCTTTGTCCCCTCAGTGTTTTATGCCAGTCCGGAAACATATCTTTTACCATTTGCTTGTTTACATGTAATGATGCTGGAAATTTTATTTGTATATTTTAAGCACCGTATTTTTCTCTATTACCTTTAAAATCTGGGCAGAGTACCAGACGGGCATCACTAATCTCACGGGGTAATCTCTTGATATTCCAATTCTTGTGCCCTTTAGTTTGAATGCGTTTGACATTATCATATCGACATCTGCAACATTGCTAAACGTTACAAAAATACTACGATGTTTTGGATATCGCTGTTGTTCTAAATGCGGGACTCTGGGTGTAAATACGCGACCAATTCTGTGTGCTCATGCTATCTTGACATTGTTCGTTAGTTTCAAATCTTTGTATAGGATTTCACCGATATAGTGAATACTCTCTTCGTCTTTCTTCTCGGGAACCCCAGAAATAATCAAATTGCATTCCCTTTACAGAAAAGTATGGTGATGGAGTTAACATAGACACATAATTACAAGCAATAACAGTGAAAAACAACAACAACAAAACAACATTGATTTTCAAATTAATATTGTTTGAAGAAAAAGAAATTTCTTAACAGAAAACTGGACAGTATTTCTTTTTTCAAATGATAAGTGAATATATTTAGCTAATTTCATCATTACGTTTTTAGAAGAAGAAGAAGTCATTATACTTTTAAATATGTTTATATTTGGCCAAGTACAATAATATCTTGGTAAATAAAGTGATCTTAAATCAGAATAAAATGGACATACCAATAACAGATGATACACATTTTCGACCACTTCAAATTACATTTCACACATAATATATTGTTTCTATCTATATTCCTGAAGTGACCTTCCTCTATAGCTAATCTATGAGCCGAACATCTAAATATTTTGAAAGGGATTTTCTATGTTTATCATTGGTTATGATACTAAGATATTTTTCATACTAAAATCAGTTTTAATTTCTTTATAAACCTCTTATTTTCTAGATACACGCAGTTCAGCATACCAATTTTGCATATTTTGATCTTCAATACGTTGTATCATACTATTTACTTGTGAATTATTTAATACTAAGTTTGGATCTCACAAATAATGTTAACCAAGCGAATTTAACAAACGTAATGTATCTAACGGCATTGACTAAAATGTCATTCTGGTCTTTTAAATACATTTTTTTACATAAGTGTACCTGGGGTTTTCCTAACTCTAGACCAAAATTTTATTATTCTGATATTACGAATGGCTGATAATGGAAATTTACACAATTCTACATAAACGGCAATATTTGTTGTTTGTTGACGAACTCCTAAAATCTGTTTATAGGAACTTAAGATAAACGCGCTCAATGTCTTGATTATTATGAAAACCCCAGATTTCACATCCATATGTCAATATTGGTAAAACCATTGATTCAAAAAGTTTAATTTTTTCAGTAACATCAAGATAAACTACATCAAAAAGAGAATTCAGTGAATATAATGCCTTTGTCGCTTGATGGGACAATACCTTTTGAGTTTGATAATGGTTTTCATTTGCTGATAATGTGACACCTAAATAAGTAAATTTTTGTACAAATTTCATTATCATAAAAGGGCTCAACAGTATCATTCCTGTTGCCGGTTTTCAAAACCATTGTGACAGTCATCAACATTAACAGTAAGTCCCTATTCAGTACAATATTGGTTTAATTTGTTAAGAAGTAATTGTAAACCTTCCTGTGTATAAGAAAATAAGACGATATCATCGGCAAATAATAACAAAAATATCTGCAATTCATCAAGAGAAAAAACATCAACTGCTTCATTCTCCATAAAATCACTCATATCATTGACAAAAAAATATAAATAGAAGAGGAGAAAGGGGTTCTCCCTGTTAAACGCTCATATAGCTATCAGAATAATTAGTTAGTGACCTAGAAGCTCGAACACATAGTTTTACACTTTTATGCATACTTTGTAATACGAGTATTTTATTAATCTTACAAGAAATTCCATAAGTTATCATCTTACCATTTCTGTAAACAAGGTCAAATGCCTTTTGATAATCAACAAATGCTGAATAAACCTTTCTTGTTTCATGTGTAATAATTTTATTTATGATAGATGTCAAAACAAAGACACAGTCTAGAGTTGATTCACCGGTTCAAAACCCAAATTGATTATCAGTAAATTATATTATTGCAGTCAGCCCACTTACGTATACGTGAATCAAGTAATATTGAAAAAAGATTAGAAAAAATACTTGTCAGAGTTATTGCCCGATATTGTTTACATCATTCAAACAAAAAGATAACAATATAAAATACACATAATGAACCACGCGCACGCGCGCGCACACACGCACACACACGCGCGAGCAAGCACAAACAAACAAAAACAAACAGACAATAGGATATACCAAAGACACATAATAGGATATATTAAAGCACCAAAAGGTATGAACCAAAGACATAGAATGATTAAGACCAAAAGCACACAATGAAATAAAGGAACGGTACAAAATGAAACACATCAAATTAACTAAACCTAAAGACACTTGATGAAATACGAAAGAGCATAAAAAGGAATACTAGTACTCAAGATTCACACAATGAAATAAAGTGAAGGCGCAAAAAACTACCAGAGGCAAATTATATTTTGTATGGTAAGAAATAATACAGTTTTTTCCGTTATGTATGATGGCTGATTTGTTACGCTTTAGTGCGTCGCATATGCGCTAGCGACAGCACGACAAAGCGCCAAACGGCGCATTGTCGCGCAGTCGTCTTGTCTCTATAGCGGCACGCCAAACGGCGCGTTGTCGTGCGGTGTGTTTTTCGCAATGTCACATTGTCGCTAGGTTCAAATTGAAGGAATGGCTCATGGTGACATCGCGACAACGCGCCGCACGACAACTTGCCGATTGGCGTGCCGTGCTAGAGACAGGACGACAGCGCGGCGTTTGGCGCTGTGTTGTTGCTAGCGACAAAACGACAAGACGAAAGTCCAACAACGCGCCGTTTGGCGCTTTTTCGCCAATTAGACGCACAAAAGCGTACCAAATCAGCCACCATAGTTCTGAGTATTCATATTACTGCGTTCATGACCTTATCCGCAATTGTCATGCAAAGTGGCCTATTCCACTAGTTAGCAATCATCTTTTAATTATTATTCATTTGGCCTTGCAGATCGGCAAGTCCATAATTTATGATAATTACCGTGTAATACTCACTGTAACGCTATGATAATGTGAGATTGACGTTGCGTTTTTTGTGTACACAAAATTTTATAATCTTTGTCTAAATAGGTAAAACAAGGGTTTTAGAAGCCAATTTAGTACTAGATAAAACATAGATTTTTAAATGTCTTGATGGCAAAGTTTGTAAAGTCATTGGGATGCAATATAGATAAAACATTTTCACGTGTTCGAGCCTCACAAGTTGTCTATTTCTTTTTTATTTATTTTTTGTTTCCCCTTTTTCCAATTTTACTGAAGATGCAAATGAATTTGAAAATAAAGATAGTTTTTTTATAATATCTTATAATTTAAATATACCGGTTATGTTTTTTTATCCTGTGTTGTGTGAAATATGCAGTAATCACAGTACTTGTGCAGTGCACGAGTTTTTTAAGCCAACTGATCTATAGTTGAAACAATTTGTGTACATGTAATTTTTCCGTTTAGTATTCAATATAAGGTAGAACTTACTTTCTAGATATTACTTTTGGAAAAAAAATGAGAAGTTAATAGAAATTAACACAACACTTAACACTTCTTTACATCAAGAAAAAATATAACATATTCGTATTTGATTGTTTATAGACATAGACATTATTTTCGAGAAAAAGTACAATCCGAATCAGTCTTGCAATGATATTTATGCTGACCTTACCTACTGCGCTACGCTGACGGTTGATTAAGTTGTCTATATTTTAATTTATATCGCAAGCATGCGTGCCCTAAACATAATAAACAGAATATGATAACTGTTTTACATCGTAATAGTGGATTTGACCACCGCGTCAATAAATAATTTTCCTACACGGACAGTAAAGTTGAATTTATTTATTTTTCTTTAGTTTGTTTTGTTATGTTTTTTTCACATCGTCCTAGTCCACCAGTTAGCATGGCTAAAATAATGTTGATCCATTTGTTCTTGCAAATTATCCTATACAACTTGTAAGGATAAATATCTCTTATGCGTATTCAGTTTCTTGCGAATAGAGCTAGTCCATTAGTAAAGATATCTAGATATTTTAATGTACATCTATATGTTCTTGTAGACTGACGTAGTTTACCAGTTAGGATCAATATTTAATGTACATTTTGTACTTCTACATTGAACATGCAAATTGACCCAGTTCAGGATAAATATCTAAATGTTTACTTTTTCTTCTAGATCGGTCTTGTCCAACAGTTAAGATTCTTGCAGTCCACTATAATGTTGTATTTTACTGGTACATTGACTCAGTTCAAAGCAAAGGTATTCATTCTGAGTTCTCATGGTGCACTGGTGTATCAATGTTGAGGATGAACATTGCTCTCCAGGTTAAAGTGTAACAGTCAACTCGTCCTGCGAATACTTGTAGATTTACTAATTCCCCAAATGAAATTGTAATTTATCAAGTCTTTTTGTATACTTTTAGGTCAACCATTTGCTCCAGTAAATGTAAAGTTATTAAGTTGTCGAGGGAATTCGGCCAATATCAAGTGGACTAACGGGGATAACAACAATGTTCCATTTCAATATGAAATTCAGTATAACACATCATATCATCCAGATCAATGGGTCAATGCCAAAACAGTGAATAACACAGACAGTGCCTCTATTCTACTGTCACCTTATACAAGATACACATTTAGAGTAATAGCTACAGACGGTGTTGGCAAAAGTTCAACAAGTCGTCATACACAACAAGAATGCAGAACTCCGTCTGCTAGGCCATATAAAAACCCCCGGAATATTTCATCAATTGGAGATAAAAAAGGCATGCTTAAAATTTTATGGACAGTAGGTTTATTTGTAATTCACTACGTATTTTAGATTCTAGTACCATACAAACTGACGTTGATGGGATTGCCTTAACGTATTTCTTTATCTGAAAGATATATCATTAAATTCTATTTGATCTTTAAAGATTTGAATTATGCTAGTTTATTAAATACTATAAATAATAATAAAATAAACCATGCATTACTAGTCATAAGGAAATTATTCTTCATTTATATACATGTTGTTGTAACTGTTATATCAGAAAGACATTTGTGACAGTATTAGATCTATATCAACCAGAACACAGTTACTTGTAGAATTCATAACAAAATCAAGTAACTGGTCTTCAGCAATTACAAACATATATCATTAATTTTCATGTCACATACAAGTTTTCATCATAGCTACTAAAATATACGCTGGTAATGTTGGTTTCATTATAAGGCAATGCTATATGTGATTTTTGTATTATTTCAGCCAATAAAAGAAGAGGAACATAATGGTCCTGACTTTAGATATGTGATACATTTCAAACAGCGGGATAGTGACGTTAGTTCACATCTGTACCAAGTTTATGACTGGAAAAGAAGTTCTGAAGAATTTGTGGTAGGACAACCATATACACCATATTTAGTGACAATACAAGCTAGAAACGCTCTCGGAGAGGCAACGGAAGTGCCGTCAGAATACCTTGTGTATTCATACGAGGACAGTAAGTTCTAAGTACACGATAAACATGTCTAGACCAACATATTACCTTGAAACATATCTATTTTTTTATCTTCTGGGTACTTGTATAAAAGAAAATTAAGACTCAAAAATGCTGTTTCTTTATTTCTTAAACTTTTAAATTTTGGTGTCCAATTAAACAATTACAGTTTCCAGAACGTTCCTCGCAGGTCATATAACATTGTCATTAGCCTCTTTTGTGTTTTAGCTATCAGAACAAATTTATGGAAGTTATAGAAAAAAACGTTGTTTACATTATGCTACCTTTATGACAAATCATTTTAATTATATATTACAAACGTAGATTAACTCATATATCAAATAAACAAACAAATTGTAAAATACAAAATTAACGTGAACGACATAAAAATGAAATAACATTGGCTGTGCACAGCTTGCATTATTTGTACTTTGAACTACTTTCATTACAGTACATTTCAAAGTCATACTGAAAGCAGATTAACCATTTCAATCTTTTTCTGTTTGAAGAATAATATTTTCTTGTAGTTCCGAAAGTCTGGCCTTTGGAAGTCAATGCTATAGCTATAGGTAACACTGCAGCAAAACTTGAGTGGATATGGGATTATATTTGGCTTGAAGAACAAGGCGAGATGAATTACATTCAGGGCGAATTGAAAGGGTTTAAAGTAAGTCTAATTAAGTTGTTAAGTTTGTATGGAGTCTTAAATGTAATAACATGAAGATAACATGTTGTAGTGACGATTTTATCTGTTGTCTGTTACATCACATCAACACAGTAGAGGTCATATGGGAACTTTCCAGCTTCACTTGTTGAATAGACTTCGGATGTCCTCTGTGCATGGCACCGAGAAGAAAGATATCTGCATACCTTCCTCACATGAAATAATCCAACCGAGAGATGACACATTGGAATTAGTATACGAGTTAAAACTTTCTTAATATTATTTCCATATCCCACGCATATGTTGTTCAAGCGTTAATCAAATACTATTTCATGGATATTAGAAATATGCTCAAATGAACACATCAAACGTGAACATTGTGACACTATACCATCTTTGAATGATATTCAGCAAATAAACCGTAGCTTCCCTAAACACCCCGTAGGTTGGTTGTTTACAAACATATAAACCTATTTACCATTTATAATTCGCGTAATAAGTAGCAAATGTTTCTCCATTATTCATATTGATACTTGTATAATTGCCTTTGGTGATTTTCAATCTGATATTTTCAATAGAAAGTTAAAAATTGCTTTAGCCGCTGACAAAGGTGTCAAATATGGTAATTGGCAAACACGGCTGAATATTAAACTTCTGTCACGTCGGGTATTTCGATATTGTATACAAATTCGTATCAGTTCTAGACATATTTGTACATTTCAGGTCAGTTATTGGTGTTCAGAAAAGAAGTCGGTCACACTGCATGACGTTGATATCCCACTTGAAGATTTCATGTCTGGTTTGAATTATACAGGCAGGAAAATACAGTCTTCTTTTGTTTTAACCAATCTTACAAAATGTAACAGTGTGCAAGCCAATGTTGCTATTTTGAATAACTTTTATGTAGGGCTTCCGAGTGAAACCATTGAATTCGATGGGCGAGGAGGTAATATTGCATAATGAAATATGATTACATTGTTTCATACAACGTTATGTCGAAATTGAATAAAATACAGTACAGCGAATAACTTGTGAGAAACTTAATTTTATGTAAATATATTTTGTTTATCAATAAACAATTGTGCTAGATGCCAAAATGTTGTCACTGCATTTAAAATTTATATGTAGGGATGGTGCAACATCCAAAGTCGGTAAAAATATAATGTAAAGATTGGTGTACATAAACACAATAATTACTTAACAACACAGAAAATCCATAATGACGACTATCGACAGAGGCCGCATTAAAAATCGTCATTCTCACAACGGCACTTCTTTTTAAAATACCGTTAAGGATGAAGAAATAAAATGAGCCGCGTCACGACAAAACCAACACAGTGCGTTTGCGACCAGCATGGATCCAGACCAGCCTGCGCATCCGCGTAGTCTGATCAGGATTCATGCTGTACTTTACTTGTAATAGGGTTGGTAAGCGAACAGCGGATGCGCAGGCTGGTGTGGATCCATGCTGGTCGCAAACGACTATGTTGGTTTTGTCGTGACGCGGCTCAAATTTTGTTCGTCCGTTAGGCGCCTCGGCACAATCCAAACACTAAACGTCTCGCCTTCGACATCTTAAATAAAAAACTTTAAAATAAATATTTTGATAATTCTTCTTAAAAGGAACTATATAAATATTATTGTAATTGAAACAGATAAAATAAAATATTGTGTAATAAAAGTATTTTGTCTCCGATATAATTCCTAAAACCAAACAGCTTAATACAAAGAACGGTCAACATTAATCGTTTGATATCGGAGTACATGTATATTTAACATAAGACTGCCTGTATTGCAGGAATTATTAAAGTAGAACGTAAACTATGTTTTAATATAATATAATGGATGTTTTCAGATATCACCCTGCAGTTAGAATTAACTAGAGCAAACATGAATTTCAGAAAAACGACATAGTAAACTTATTCACAAGTCTAGTAAAGATTTTCATTTACATGCGATGAATTACTGATTTGCAATTTTTATCACCATATTAAATTTTCTACTGCGTGACTTACGCAGTAAAGGCTGTATTTTGCATATTTTGACCTTTAATTGGTAATTTACTCGGATTGAACGTGCCGTTTACAATGAAAGAATAACTATTTTTGTCCACTTCATTCGACAACTTTTTAGTTTTATTTAATTACATTTTAAGAATTTTCATGAAAATTAGCATGAATACGGAAAAATTTTACTATTCTTGTCAAGTCATGGTTAATAATGTAGTAGTTAATGCTACACTACTAAATGGGCGGCGCTAATTTTATCTCCTATTGCAAAACGTGTAAAGCTGGATTATGCTGATCTGAATCATGATGGTTAGCTCTGTTTTGTCGGCGTATACACCAGTACACGAACAACGAGTATTCCGCATGTTATGAGGAACACTTGGTACTATCAGAAAAACAGTTAATGTTTTGTCGTTTAACAAAAATATTTTGTTGAAAAAACATGTTTACAATGTTAAATCGACAAACTCAATCCAAGAATGCAACATTGGAGTTTACATACAAAGAAAAACAATTGTATTTTGTCCGTAAACAAACTCTTCAACGCAGATCAACAAGGATAGATTTATGGCAACGAATAGCCTCCATAGTGTCTTAGCTATTGATCATATTGTTCCGCAAAAAGAATAAGTTTTGTGCTTATATAGAACATTTTTTAGCATGTGACCCAAGTCAGTTGCCGATCTTACACCAAGGGGCATAATTAATATAATTTGCACAGGACCAATACGACATGAATTATACCAAATATCTGAAGTCAAGTAAATTGTCGTGTGGAAACGAATAAATACGTACGTTACATTAAAGCTGCATCCCTGCAGATGAGCGAAAATATTTCAATAAAATCAAACTTGAGAAATATGTACTAAGATTTTAGGAAAAGTAAAAATATTCAAGATTCAAGTGATAATTTACATGTAAAGTTCGATAAATGATTGTTTTTTTTAGTATTAATATTTCTACCGCGTTACTAACGCAGTAAGGGCAATGTTTGCATATTTCGTCCTCTTTTTAGTAATTAACGTGGGTTGTAAGTGCCATTGATAATGTGTAAATTGCTTGCTTTTGGTTATTTCACTAAACAAATTTGCAAAATTTTCATGAAAATTAGCATGAATCTGGAGGAATAGAAATAAGCAAATCCTGGCAAGTCGATTGGCTTGTTAATTATTAAGTGATTTTTCTTCTGATTATATATCTTGTGGTCCTTTAAATATAGCTTTAAACAAATATTATCAAACATCAATATAGCAAAAGATCGCAGTTACAACTTACTAGTGGTGGAAGATTCCACTCACTCCTTATAGTTTTTACATAAACATGTCATCTTAAGGAGATAATAACTTAAAACAGTATAAAATTGAACACCATTTTATTCTTGTACTTTTCTTTATAAAAATTTACAAAATGTGTTATGAAATGAGAATAAAAGAAACAACATACTCAATGTTTTGATAAAACAAACAACAACTATAATATTCTTATTGAATATAAATGTATAATGATAAGGTGATGTTATCAGAATCTTGCACTGACTGTCTTTGTAGACTGGTGAATGGTAATGTTTACAGAGAGAACAAGGCCCTCGGCGGATTTCCCGCCAAAATTACATGACAGCCGTTATATTTCCGCGTGAAAGACAGTCAGTGTTTGATCCGTTTCTCATGTATAATACTAGAGACTTTCAGCTCTGCCATAATTTTTATAAATTATATTTTCAGAAAAAAATAACAAAAACTAACATTTTAACTAAGAATTTTTTCCTGATAGAAATTATTAATTTTAGAAAATCTTGTCCAATATGCAAGAAAATGTGAAAATTTACAAACATGATATCAAATTTAGGAAATGAAAATAAATGATGCAATAAAATCAAAACGATAGTGACAAAAATACAATGACATCCTAAAAAACAAGAGCCCCATGATGGCCCTATAACCGCTCACCTGTATATAGGCACCCGGGTCGGGGCCAATTCTAACCCAGGGGCTTTTATTTGAACAAACTTGGTTGACACCCATTTGAAAACGTTTCATGATAAATATCTAAGCTCTAGCTCTAAGAAGATTTTTTAAGTTTTTACTATACACATATAGGGAAACCCCCCCCCCCCCACTGAACGGGCCAATTTTAACCCCAGGGCCCTTATTTGAACAAAAATGGTAAACACCCATTAGAAGATGTTTCATGCTAAATATCTTAGCTCTAGCTCTAAAGGTTTTTTTTTAAAAGAAGATTTTTTAAGTTTTTACTATATACATAAAGGGACAAACAATGACCCCCAGGAGCGGGGCCAATTTTGACCCCAGGGCTTTTATTTGAACAAACTTGGTAGACACCCACTAGAAGATGTTTCATGCTTAATATTTAAGCTCTAGCTATTTGGGGTTTTTAAAAGAAATTATTTTAAGATTTTACTATATACAAATAAGGAAAATCAATGACCCCCCACGGGGCGGGGCCAATTTTGACGCCAGGGCATTTATTTGAACAAACTTGGTAGACACAGACTAGTTGATGTTTCATGCCAAATATTTAAGCTCTAGCTCTTGCGGTTTTCTAAAATAAGATATTTTAAGTTTTTATTATATACAAATAAGGAAAATCAATGACCCCCAGGGGCGGGGCAATTTTGACCCCAGGGTATTTATTTGAACAAACTTGGTAGACATCCACTAGAAGATGTTTCATGCTTAATATTTAAGCTCTAGCTATTTGGGGTTTATAAAAGAAAGATTTTTAAGATTTTACTATATACAAATAAGGAAAATCAATGACCCCCTGGGGCAGAGCCAATTTTGACCCCAGGGCATTAATTTGAACAAACTTGGTAGACAATGACAAGGTGATGTTTCATGCCAAAATTTTTTAGCTCTAGCTCTTTCTAAAAGAAGATATTTCAAGTTTTTTTTTTCGGTTGCCATGGCAACCAGAGTTCTGCTTGAAATTAAATTCTTTGAACAACTTTAAAAGTTGACTTCCAAAGGAACATTACTGTGAAGTTTGGATGCAATTGGCCTAGTGGTTTATGAGGAGATGTCGTTTAAAGTAAAAGTTTACGGACGGACGACAGACGGACGCCGGATGAAAAGCGATCACAAAAGCTCACCATGTCACTTTGTGACAGGTGAGCTAAAAACTAAAAGTGAAAAATAATAAAAACACATCATTTTGAAAAATAAAACCAACAAGACTACTGGTCTAGATATATACACTGTATATACAAAATAAAAACTGGCCCATTAGTTAGTTTTGACAACTGTTATTATCAAGGAATAACTAATGACCTTAAAGCACATAATATATCAAAGCACTAATTTACACTATATATAAGTACAAATATATTCCCTGGCAAAGAAAAACTGAATTATCTTAAAGTTTCATTTGACAGAACAAATGTAGGTAACTATGTAAAATGGGGAAAAATAGAGAATAATAGGTTGGTGCCGTGGATGGAGAAAGTTTATCTGGCGAGGCGGAGGAATTTATTGGGTGAGCCGAAAAGTTTATCTGGCAAGGCGGAGGAATTTATTGGGTGAGCCTTCGCCTTCGGCTCACCCAATAAATTCCTCCGCCTCGCCAGATAAACTTTCTCCATCCACGGCACCAATCTATTATTCTATTTATCCTGTCACCGTTTTTTTAAAGACTTTTATTAGGCAAACTACCTTTAATCACACTATCGGAAATGTTTCTATATAAACAAAGAAGGCCCGAAGCGTTCATTATTCTACAACAATGCACTCGCCGTTCTTATTATCTCCCTGTGTATTTTCACATTGAGGGCGCCATTTTGTTTGAAAAATGTGATAAATAAAAACTTTTTTTGTCGAATTTTGTTGTGAAAACTATCTAGAATGAAAGAAAATGGTCTATTTAAGAAAATGAATTCGAACACCAATATCTTTTATTTAGTCGTTAACGCTGTACAGACGTTTAAAGTATTGTTTACGTGACGTCACAATGTAGCGCCAAACAGCACGTGCAAAACAATCAAATCATGTACGCTATTTTAATGTCGCAAACGAGTTTAGTTTTACATTTATTTCACTTATAATATTTTTTATTTCGCTTAAAAAATTATAGAGTGAAATAAAATAAACAAACAAAGTTTTATCAACGTTTCCAAAAATTTGTTATTCTACACACAGAACATAAAGTCCAACATTGTAATAATAATTATATTTTTTCTTGAAAAGTAGTCCGGCAAAATGCATACCACGTGATCAAGTGCCGTAGATCAGTAAAAATATATGGCACCTTGTTATCGGGCCGAAATTGATACAAGTGACAGGATAAATTGATATAATTTGTGATGCATTCATGAAGGATATATGTATCATTTACAATATAAATATAGTAACAAAATATTATGTAAAAGAAAAACAAGAGGATTGAAATCATTGCCACCACATTTACATACCATCACCTTAGTGCAGTAACAGAATAAGTTCTACTAGGTTTAATAGGAGTTAATCAGTTATTGCACTAAGGTGATGATACATGTTGATTTATAGTTACACATGCTATATTAAGTTTTAAGGTTTCTAAAACTGACAGATGAAATAATACACACAACTTTGGGGAGAGTCTATCTACAATGACGTCAATTGCTTCTTTATCATACACAAAACTAAATATGAGCCACGTCATGACAAAACCAAGGTAATGCGTTTGCGACCAGCATGGATCCAGACCAGCCTGCGCATCCACGCAGTGTGATCAGGATCCATGCTGTTCGCTTACAAACCCTATAACAAGTAGAGAAACTGAAACATATACTCTTTTAGAGTAACAAAATGTTATAAATGCTATTTGTAAACAATCACATCACAAAGATATAATATGTCACCTTTCAAAACAAGTCTATATCTGATGTTTTATGACATATACAAAATGAGGTATGCTTTTTTCAGACGATATATATCATAAGTAAGATATATGCTCATATAAGGTACATACATCTATCATACAAATGTTATGTGGTCATAATAATAGTCTATTATGCACAGGATATTCCTATCACTCAGTTAACACAAAATAATTTACAGACTTTGGGAAAAAAAGAAAGGAAAGAAGATAATTTTACCTTCAGTACCTCACACCTGGGAAGACGTAAAAAAGGAACAGGAAAAGCACCCTATGATTATGTACAGCTTTCCGTTCATTTTGATTTTTCTTATCGTCCAAACCAATATGCATTAAAAAGATCGATTCACTATTTCAAACATACGAATGACCAATGAAACCAACCTTGCAATGACTTGAAAAGGTCTCAATTAAACTACATCATTCCTAGATCGTGACAAAATAATCTGAGAAAATTTAATTTTCTTCCAGAACATGGTCATGAAATTAATCATTATATAAAAATTTTATATGGCGAATAAGACTGTTCCCCCTGAGTGTGACAAATGTTTACTTGTTGCCACAAATATTGTCAAGGAAATGGCGTAGAGCAGTACGAAAATATTTACAAAATCCATATTTACCAAGACTTTTTTGTCCCAAATATTTCTTTTTAAAGCTTAAATTCTTCTCTTTGAAACTAGTTTAGTATAAAAAATGCCTTTTTACAGAAAGCATAAAAGCCAGTGTATTACTGTCGTCAGTCATTTTTCATGCTCAGTGCAATGTGGTACGACAATCTTTATCCTTTAGGCTTTTACATCTTCCCAGCTCACACAAACAATATAAAACTTTTAAAATGTCCATTAAAATAAATACACTCTTTCTTTTTACCAATCTATTACAGTTTTATTACAGAAATCGTTTACTCTCCTTTAGGAAATTTTTGTGATGCTCCGTAAAATTCAATAAACTTGTCCAAAAAGTTGAATGATGAGTCATATTTCCTAAGAGTCACATAAAAGATAAATGTTCCTCCAAGAATGTCTCCATACAGCTGTATTTTACAAGTGATCTCATATTATCATCTCCATAAGGCTCATCTAAAATTGTAACAAAATTTGTTTTAATTTTCTTCTTTTTTTTGGGGTGGTTTTACATTACACCAAAACAGTATAGGTTACATGGTGACTTTCCAGCTTTACTGTGGGAAGAAGACCCAGGGTGCCCTTCCGTGCATTATTTCAGGCATGAACAGAAGGGCACCCTGAGTAAAACTGCTGACGTTCCCTTAGCTAGCTGGATAGCTTGCTCACCTAAAAAGAATCCAAAGAAATCCACATGGGTAAGGAGGCAAGTGGTTTAAGTTCTAGACCCTAAAAACTCTGCCACGGACGCTCTTAATTTTTCTTTTATTACTTTTCATCCTTACCCTGCTGAATTTATATAATGGATTGTCTGGCTTTTCTTTGAACTTGGAACAGTATAGTTTTATATATACAGTAAACTCCATTTCCCACTGTAGATGACTTACTTACAGGAATGAGAAGGCACTTGGTAGAACCAATCACATCTTGTTCACTATGTAAACCTTTGTCTCACATGACTTCAGTTTAAAATTCACAGTGCTTATGGGCAAGTGGTTCAAATTATGTGACCATTCATGACACAAGCTATAGGCCATCAAACATATTGTGTAAAAAGTTTTCTATACATACCTGCAATAACAAATATTTCTAGAACATTTGCAGACTGCAGTTTTATTGTCAGATAGCTCTCTAAACTGTTCATCTCTGGTACAATTTTCAGATTATTGTAAAGTTTCTCCATTTGTCTAACATCTTCCCTAAAACAATCAATTATATATATTATCAATATGAGATATCAAATTCATTCATAAAAATCACTATTATTTCTACAAATACCTTATAATAATATCATATTGTTACCCCAGATAATTCCACTGTAATTAACATTCTGCATAAAATTATCTTAATTATTCGAGTCTTGAAATTGCGAAATTTAACATACAAGAAGACATTTTGTGAAGATAAACTTCTATTAACTAGTTAAATATTTTACTTATAAATTACATGTACTAATTATTCAAAACCATTATTTTAAACATACTGTTGACCGAGTTGAAGTTTCTGGATATCATCAGTGAAGATGTCAAGGCACCATTCATATCGTACTGTAGAATTCTCGTTCAGTATTTGTAGAAACATTTCCATTCCAACTATAAATACAAGCAAGCTAAAATTTGTTAATAAATGTACTAATTTCCCCTTTTTCAATCCTTTTGAAATTCAGTAAACTCATAATTATTATTATGATATCAGCAATGCGTGACAAAATTAGTAACAAGAAATTTACATAGAGTTTCAAGTTTGATGTATACATAGAGCTTAAATGAAGATGGCTTTGAAGACATGTTAGCCACAGGTATTAATTTATTACTAATTTATTTTATATACCACATACAATTCCTTCTTTGAAGTCATATTGGCATTGTTAGCCAGAACTTTCATTCTTTACTGAGGCAGTAAATAGTGAAGGCATCAATGTAAAACATCAGCATCTTTAAGTAAGGAAACTTGATAACATACTCATATGTAAAGAACAGAAATAAAGACTCTCAGAAATCAAATGTATTTCACAACACAATCGCTAATCATAATAAATTTGTACATAATGACTGTAAAACCTCACAAAACGATCACAAAAGCAATTTTAAAAGATATATACATGTACATGGCCTCAAAATTAATATTACTTTCATTAAGAAATTAAAAGAAGAGATTTTGATATTATATTAAAATGTTTACCTTTCAACAACATGTTCAAAACATTGGGTGTAAGACACACAATTTTCTGCAACTTTCTATCTTTGGCTTCATCACCTAGACTGTTCAATTTTCCACTTTTCAATTTACGACAGTTTCCTTCTTCAGCAGTATTTCTTATAGTCTCACTTGCTCTGAATTTGTTTAATGAAGAACCAGTTTCATTGATATTTCTAGAATGCATATCTAAAACAGATTTTGTGCTTTCGTTCTTTTCTAATGTTTGATCTTTATCCATTACATGCATTAATTTCCTCTTCAGATGTTCTTTGCTTAACAGATCATTTTCAAAGTCCTTTAAACGTAAACAGGCTTTTGTTCCTTTGAGTCCACATACATTGCTAATTCCATTGTGGCAACTCCTACTTTTGCTTCCATGTCTACTTATACTACTGCTCTCACTTCCATTTCTACTAATAATGCTGCTTTCACTTCCATCACTACTAATACTGCTGCTTTCACTTTCACTTCGATCTCTACTAATACTGCTGCTTTCACTTACATCACTACTAAAACTGCTGCTTTCACATGAGCTGCTACTGCTGCTGGACGATCCACGACCCCTTGTCCTTTCTCTTCTCAGACTTCCATCATGGGAGGAATAAGAATAACACTCTTTTCCTTCCGATCTTTTTATAGGGCATGGCCTATCTTTACAAGAGCTGTTCAATGTACATGATCTTTTTGACCAATTACATCTTGAGAAAGTAAAAAGTTGTTTTTTATTGGTTTTATCTCCAACTTCTGGTGAGCTGGAAGGTGACGGTTGTGATGAAGTAGACATCTTTTGACTTTTCCTTATTTTTCTTCTTCCTTGACTGCCACTCACTGAGCTTCTTATACTTGTACTTTCAAGTAGCTTACTGCTCAATGAACATAAGCCTGTATTTCTTCTTCTATCTTTCATCAATGTCAAGGAATCACTGCATGAACTATTGGTTTTAGTTGTGCTGTCAACTGATGATTCAGAGTGTACTGAATGCCTTGAAGATAATGATGAATCTTTCTTTGGTGTTTGATTCCCAGAAAACAAACCTAAATTTGAACCACTAATACTTTCATCAGTCATTTCAACAAAAGATACATTTCCACTTTGTTGGACAATTTGATTTACCCACAAACATGTATATCCAAGTTTATTTCTCCTATCTAAATCCTCTGTGACGCAATCAATCACATGTGATGGTTTGCATTCTTTCATGTTTGTCCCTTCATTATCTTCGATGTCCTCAAAATAATAAGAGGAAACAAAGTTGTCATTTTGACTTAAATTACTTTCTACTCTTGGGTATGTAATGTTTGTTTGACCATTCAATTCTGACTGTTCCAACCTTAAACTTACCTCTTTCTTTGATGATGACAGATTTTTATTGGGACTCAATACTTTATCACTTACATCATATGAATCAGGAACTATAGGCTGTATAACATCTGCATATACTTCAAGAGAAGACTCATTTATTTCACTATGAACGGCTGAAGCACTTCCTCCTTCTATATAAACATCCCTTGTGGTTGCTGTTTTTGGTATTTTGCTATAGTTTTTTTCTGTACCTTCCACAGCTTTCATTATAATGTTGACTGTATCTACTGCTTTAGAAGTTTTTATTACATAGGGTCTAGTATTAGTCAGATGAAACTTTCGTGCAGACTCTTGTGTCTTCAAGTCATTGCAGGTAACTGTATCGCTTTCGAAGTTGACAGAATCTTTTGTTTTACTGCAAGGCTCAACCAGTTTTGATATTGACTTTGAACATCCAACTTCTGAATTGCATGAAACTGATTCCAAACTTTCACCAATAACGGTGTAAACATTTTCAAGCTCAGACACAAAATTGTCCTTTTGTACTTCTTCTTGGCTGCATGATCTTTTTAATTCATTTACAGGTTGTTCATCTTTCCTTCCTTCAAGTTTACTTTGTTCAAGACAAAAAGAACTAGAAATATTATGTTGGACATTTTTTTCTGTACTATCTGAAACAATTTTCTTTTCTTCTGCAGACTTTAGCTTGGTAAGAAATTGACCAATACCACTCAATGAATTTCTATTTTTCCATTTGCAACTAGCTTTTGTCTCCCTTAAACCTTCATTTCTTTTTGATTTCATAGATGTTGTCTTTTCTTGCTCCAATGTAAAACTTAATTCTTCTTTTGAACTATGAGAAGAAATAGATTTGTTTGATTTTGAACATGCCTCACAAGTGTTTTTATGTTCAGATTTGTCTTGAATGAAGCCCACACTACACAACCTGTGAGAAAAAGAACCAGTTCCCACACAACTCTCACCAGTCTTCATTTGCTTTACACTAATATCATGTAATTCGTTCAATTCATTACCAGATATATTATCTTTTGCTGTAGCGTTCACACTTTCCACTGTTGTTTCCATGCATGTAGAAACATCTTTTACTTCCTTCAGGTCTTTCTCACAATGAATTGCTGATTCATCAACAAAAAGCTTCCTGGGGTCCAATGTTGTTTCTGGTACTTTGCAGCTGTTTACATCTTCAATATCTTTCATTGTACTGTTGTCTGTATTTATTGCAGTGGAAGATTTGCCAAAAACTGGTCCTGTTTCAGGCAGCTGAACCTCTTTTATAGACTCTTGTTTTGTTGCCTGACTGCAAATGTTTTTTCCTTTTCCACAAATGATACTTTTTCTTTCATTTTCTTCAATAGTTTTACTGTCAAACTCATTTGCATTTGATGACAAATTTGAGTTCCCTACTTTAGAATTCAATGTTACTGATTCCGTATCTTCACCAATAGACATGTAAAAGTTTGCAAGTTCAGAATTGAAACTGTCATTCCCTTTATCATTTTCCTCTGCCATGGAACATTTTTTGTCTTTAGTTTTACTGTCTGTCCTTACCTCTACAAGTTTACATTGTTCTACAAAACATCTGTTACCTCTTTGCTCCATCAAACTATAACTTGTTTGCTTCATTTCAGGTTTAACCAATTTCTCTTCTTTTGTGTCTGATTTCTTTAGCTTGTTCAGAAATTGACCAATACCAGTCATAGCATTCCTGTTTTTCCGATGGCCATGATGCCTCATCTCTTTTACTCCTTCCTTTCTGTCTGATTTCATTATTTCATTTTCCTTCAAAGTAACAGTTGACTGACTTGAAACAGTTGATTGACTTGAAACTATGTTTCTATCTTCAAGTTTTGTATTTATAGAAATAGCAGTATCATGAACTTTGTACTCATCAGGTTTCATGCCTATCACAACAATCGCTGTATTTTCTGTATAATTCAGATTTTTCTTATCACCATCAACTAATGCTCCACTTGTATTTTCTACAGGATTTTTCAAACCATCAAAGTTGTCCTCCGCCTCAACAATACAATTTCTCTTTACCTCTACTGTTGTTGCTTTGTCATTTTCATACTCCTTTAATTTCACACTGGTTTTTAAATCAGAATATTTGGTAATTTTGTTAGTTGATATTAAACATTCCTTTTCAGAATTTGAATCATATTTCTGTGCAGAATTTAGAAATCTCTTACTAGGGTTTCCATAAATGATGTCATCATGATATGTGACAGCTACATTTGTAGAAGACATGTTAATGTCTTCCATGTCTCTTTTACAGTTAACTGCTGACACTTCATCCATATATACTTTCTTTGATAAAGATTTAACTTCAGGCTCAGAAGACTTCACATTTCTTAAATAATTTAGAAAGTAGCCCACACTGTGCAATACCCGTGAATGAATCACAGGTTCAGAGTTAGTTCTGGGACAATTGGCTGGTTTTGGACCAGTGACATCTGTTGTTGTATTTATTGTATTTTTAAGTTGACCAACATTATGAAATTTAACAGATCTACCTACATTACTAGAACAAATCTCATCTGTTGTTTCTATTCTGTCTGAACAGTTTTCAATTTGTACCTTATTTTTACTCTTGACACATTTGCTTGCCTCTCCTATACAATTACTTTCTCCATGCCTTTTAGTTGAATTGCTCTCATTTTGTTTTCGACGTATGTCTTTTTTTATGACAAAATCTTTGACGTTAAATTCTTTTTGCTCCTCTGAAATACAGCATTCTTGAGATTTTGGAAAATTATCAAATGTCTCTCTTTTTTGCACATCATCTACTCTGAACAGATGGAAAATATCCTTGATTCTGTCTATGGAACTATTTGATGACTCATTTTCTTCAATTGTTTCCTTCATTTCCTTACTTTCATCTGGGATCAAAGCTTTTGAAGAACTGCATGTTTTGTAACTACTGTTAAAAGTAGCCTTTTCACCAGCATTATAGGACTTTTTATATTGGACATGTCTTGCAGCATTTTTGGGTCTGTTATTAATTTTAGTACAAGTACTTGAAATATCCCTACCTATTGTACCATTTCTGTGCAATTGTGAAAATTTGGAATCAGAATTTGATATTTGTGAGTCTTTTGAAATTTCATTCTCAGTATTGAAATCATATTTGGCAGTACAATTTATCTTTTCTTTACATAAGGTTTGCAATTTTCTTGGGTTCATCTCCCTTTTGGGAGGACTGTCTTTTGGCAAAGATATTTCAGAGTCAAGTTTTTTTAGCATTGGTGAAACTTCTGAGTATGTTGTTTTCTTACTAAATGAAGATTTTTGATCAAAAATTTTTGAAATGGTGTATTCTGTGAGATAGTATGTATCTGGGTTTTGATCTTGAATGTAAGGCGTAATATTGTCTGACGACATTATCCAGGGTGGTATACTTGCAGCACCACTTTGATTCCCTTGTTCTAAAACAGTCTGCCTGTTGCCATTTAACATGTAATTCATAAACGGAGGTGAATAACCAGGAGAGTTCACAAAACTTGGCCCTGATGTATACATTGGAATGGAATTCCAAATGAAAGGTGATAGAGGCGACTGCTGGCTTGGATGTACATATGGAAATAACGATGGCGCTCTGTAAGGTGATATTGCTGGTGAATGGGCTCCTTGAAAAGGTTGCCACATAGGGTATGGCAGCCACATGTCATATGGATGTCTATTTAAAGGGAGCCATGGTTGAGAATGAACAGGTGTTGGTCTTAATAAACTAGTATTGTATGCCTCCTGATAATAAGTTAAATCATCCTGATGATGAAGTGCTTGCCCTGCAGTTTCTGTCTCCGAGTTTTGGACAGTTTCAACCTCTGAGTTTTGGACAGTTTCTGTCTCTGAGCTTTGGACAGTTTCAACCTCTGAGTTTTGGACAGTTTCTGTCTCTGAGCTTTGGACAGTTTCAACCTCTGAGTTTTGGACAGTTTCTATCTGTAAGTTTTGTACAGTTCCCGCCTCTGAGTTATGTATAGTTTCTGTCTCCAAGTTTTGTTTCTTATCAATTTCTACATCATAATTCTGAAGTGTGTTTGAATTCCCCACACTTTCTTTCTCTTCAAGAATGTCATTATTCATTTTCGTATACTCACATATATCATCGGTATAATCATCCTTATCGATTTCTTCATCAAAAGTATCTTTGATATGAAACACTGCATTGTCATCAATCTGCGAGGGGTAAATACTTGAACTCTGAGAATAATCATTGTCTGGCTCTGATATGGGATATTCCCATGTGCTGGAAGTGCTTCCCATGTCATAATCAATACCTCTGAATAAACTTCCTTTCTGATAAATTTGAACACTTTGATGAGCTTCAATAACATCATTAATACCAGAAGACGAACTTGCAGATAAAAACTTGCCAAATGGACTTGGTTTATAACCAACATCTATTTCAGATTCATCAGTAGGGGAACAATGACTGCCGTCAACATTACTTTCCTCACTAATATTGACTTCAATATCAGTTTCTCTATGAACATCACTAATTGATGACTGGGTATTTTCAGTATCTGATTCAAAATAAGAATTTTTACAGGTAGATAGACTTAAGCTAACGAAATCATCTGTTTGCGGGTCATTTTTGTGATAAGATTTTATTTCTTCTTTATGTTCATCCATTTCATGCTTGACATTGCCATTTTCATAAATATTTTCACATTGGATATTTTCAGTAATTAAAATACCATCCTGATGTGTCTTAGATAAATCCTGCAGCCGTTTCTTAGATAAATCTATATTGCTGCTTTGATCATCAAACACTGATTCATCTTTTGGTGCAATATCACATTGGTCCTTGGCTTCAAATGTTTCAGTGAGTTCATTTTTTACCATCTTACAACCCTCAACATCAAATTCATTAAAAGCATGGTCATCTTTTTCATTGTCCCCTTCATCAAATATATCTTCAAGATCAGGTACATCGTCAGAATCACTACTGATTAAATCTGAACAGTTCATATTCATCTCAGTCAGTCTAACCAATTCATTCTTTTTCTGAAAGTAGTAGTAATCCATATCTTCCTGAGATTTTTCTAAATCACATTCTGCCTCATCTAACACGATTTTATCATCAACAAACATTTGACTATTTTTTCCAAGGAATGGTTGATCAGCTACCTTACTACCATCAATGGAACCTTTCTTTGGAAACTCATGTGAATGTTCAGGACTAGCAAACGATTCTACAAGAGACAGACATGGGGAATTTTGGATATCCTTACAAGGCTCTGTTACAGTATTTAACAGTCCACATTTGCCTTTACCTTCATCAAAATTCTGTGTCTGATCCTCAATTTCAAGATTATCATTCTTTTCCTTAAGAACCTCAATTTCTGCAGTATTTGATTCGATTTCTGCAATACAATCCTGTATAATCTGTGTAACAAGTTTATTTGTGTCATTTTGCTCAAGTTTTATTTCTTCATCTATGTTACATTGCTCTAGTTGTAAAGTACCACTTGAACACTCATCAACTGATGAGTCTTCCTTAAACATTTCAATTTTATTTTGATCAGAAAGCTCTCCCTTATTTTCCATGGTTTCATACATATATTCATTAATATGAAGAGGTGATAACACAACATTGCATTGTTTAATTGGACACTTTGAAATATTATGTGTTAGTGTTGTTTCATCATTATCAGTATTACTTGGAAATCTATGGAGATCACATAAGTTGTTTTCAAATTCACTAGTTTCAAATGAGTTTTCAACATCTGATTCATTAATATCTGTGCATACAGTATCAATCATACCATCCAGCAATTCCTTCACACACTTTCCTACTTCAGAATGGTCTTCTGTCAAGTTGTGTTTATTCATCTTATCCTCACATATTGTTTCAGATTTAGCACTATTTAATTTATCAATATCAATTTGTTCTGATGTCTCAGAATCACTCCCACCAACTGTATCTATCACAATGTAACACATGGAAGCTCCTGTTTCAGACACTACATCACTTGAATCATCAAACACGGCACCATCATCCTTATTGTCAAGAGCATTTTCCTCATCTGTCCAATCAAGACAAACATCAGAATCAGACGGAAGAATTCTTTTATGACCTGCATTGTTATCTTCTTCTGTATCTTCACTGCCTGATTTATTTCTTTGAGGAACAATGGAATCATTTTGCAACTCAAGTGATACGAATACTTTATCCTTCTCTTCCAAATGAAACACTTCTTTTGATTTAATACCTTTCTCCTTCTGAAAAGCTGTGTCTGTTACTTCACTTGATTTATTGCTATCAGAAGCTTTACTTTTATCTTGACCTGGGTTTATTTTATCAAGCTCACTCATACCTCCTTTTTCATTGCTCTCAATAGATTTTGTTGATTTCATTTCCAGCATTTTAGATTTGATAAGGTTGTTTGAGTATGTATTTTTCCTTTCTATTACTAATGAAGACCGACTGCTCTGTACATCTTGGTTCTCAACATGTCTTACACTTCCATCAAAGGCTAGTTCATCATTAGCATCTTTCAATTCCACACCTATTTCAATGGGTAAAAAAATCACTGTAAATGCTTGTAAAAAAAACAAGAGTGCTTGACTATTCTATGTGATAAATAGCATAACAAGAGCTTAAATAATTAATGTAGAATTTTCTATGTTCAAAAAGGACTATAATTCTGTCAAAATCAATGTTAAGAATTATAGGCCGTGAACACTGACCCTCCCCTTTTATGCTCTTAAATAAGTCAAAGGAGTTTAAAACCATCTACATCAGTTGTTTTGGAGATACCAATCTGCATGCAAAACTTAACAATAGTTTGACGCCGAGTCTATGTGGAGGCGTAGGAAAGTAGGGTTGCAATGATTCACGAAATGTTCAATTCTAAGCTAGATCTCATACAGATCTGACTTTTTTCCGGACTTAAACTTAAGCTTTTTATACACATCAACATCAGTGCTTTCTTTTCATGTGTTGCACGTTAGTTGCTCTTCATTACATGGGGCATAACACACCTATAAAACATGTATTTCAGATGTTGCTTTGCCTTATTCCTTATCATAGCCAAACCAGAAGTGTTCCTACACCTTTTATTTAAGCTTAGTTGAAGAATTTTTTATCTATTTTTTCTACATTTAGATTTGAAGCTATTTTGTAGCACTACGTTTAATCAAATGAGTGATGCAGACACCTGGGAAAGTAGGATAGCTTTCCTTTCACATTAATAAATTAGCTAAAAAATCACTAAGGTGTATTGCTTATGACCTTAAAGCTATATTACAGATAAGCAAAAAATTAAATAAGGAAATAAACACATTACTAACATCTACATATCATTATACTTAAATATAAGTCAAATACTGAATTAATGCACAATTTTATCATCAATATATAGTTAACAGGATAAGAATTATTATACCTGAGTAGGTTGCAGTTCTGGGACCACCTGGAATAACAAGGTCTGTACTTCTTCCAGTATTGCAAACAATCCTCCTGTCTTCTGTCTGTTAATATAACAATAATCATCAGTTATCATCTTGCTACATACAGTCATCTAATGTCTCTTTATCAATAAAATTCAGTGGTGTGATAATTTGTAAAGAATTTACAAATACAAATTATACAAGCAGACTGCTTAAAGATTTTAGTGCATTTCACATTAAGTATTGTTTGAAGCATATGATTGCTTTCCCTATATAACTTCTATTTTGTTCATGTGCATTATATGTAAGAAATAAAGAGCTTCTGTCTGACCTTATAGCAAGTAACCTCCAAGTCAGCCCAAAGGGTCAAAGCTGTATCAATGTTTTAGGACTAACTGGTCACTATAATGCTAAAAGGACCTTGATGCTTTCGTCAATTTCTTATTTGTAGTATCAAGGAAAATGTTAATTTTGAGGAAACTTTGATGTCACAATTAGGCTTGGATGAAACTGGATACTTCAATATGCCTTAAAAACTTGAAAATTATTTTTTCTTTTATTTTAGAATTTAACTTGTGACTAAGAACCCTATTTTTGTTAAAGAAAAAAAAGATGTTGATCATTTGGCAGAATATTCAAGGTATCTAACCATTTCTTTTTCATAGATAAGCATTTCTGTAGAGTATTCTTTTTCGTCTTCTCCTGTGCCCATGAAGTTTTCCAGTACATCAGCTTGTTTAGCTCTTTCTTTAAGATCCGGTATATCATCTGGACGAACCATATACTCTTCATCTTCAGAGCTGATATCAAAACAAAATATAACATTTACATCTATAGTCATGATCTATATAATGGAGTGGTCATTCAATTTTGAATCTATTCCTAGAGATTTTAATATATTTAATAAACACTAGCACTGCTGACTTAAACATAAAAGTTTGCTTGTCATTTAATTATAAGGAGGTTGTTAGTTGGTCTATTAATTATGCTGATTTTAAGATATATTTGGTTCTCAAATGTTGGTACTTTTTACCAGCTTTCCTGGATAACTAACCAGTAATTATAAATTTCTCCCCCAAATGTATTACTCCTAAACCAACAGGATTGCTAAATCAGTGGTGATAGACAAATGACCATTAGACTCTCTGTCAAGGATCAATTGCATGTGCAAGTTAAAAATATAAAAATTCCAACCTGAAAACTCTGAAATTATCTTTATTTGCATCACTTTTATACAGTAGAAGAAAGCTATTAAGGAGTATAAATAACTGGAAATTCAGAAATATATCTGAAAACTTTATCCCATGAATTTGTTAATGAGAAATTTTGTCTTGCCAAAGGATTAAACCAGTGACCCCGGGGTAACAAATCAGATGCTATACCTATTGAGCTAATTAAGTGGACATTCTCCCCATCTTTTTTGCTTAAAAATCCACATACTTTATATAATAATTTCCATTTCCCATAATAAGTATTGTAGAGTAAATAGTTCAACATTTATAATCTTAAAGTAGACTTACTAAGTTACCATAAAAAGAGAAAAGTGAACAAAAACAGATTTACCAGTGATAATATATTCAAAGATTATTTTCAAGTATATAACTAATAAAGAACCTGTAGCATATTTCCCTAGGTGGTGTTTTAAGAACTGCTGATCTTCTGAAGCGGAAACTTGAAAAACGTCCCCTGTTACCATAGCTACAATATAAAAATCTTTATTGATATTTTATCAAAATTACACAAGTAAAAATAGAATAGAAACAAATCCAAGTTTTATTACCCAACAAGCAGAGGTTGATTTACAAAATCCCTGGAAATAGAGAAATGGTCCAAAGTAGGGCCCAGTAAATGAAAATGGCATTTGACTTACAACATTTTAACACATGGTTATTATAAACAAGAGCGATCAGTGATCACATGTGTCGCCTCATGATGGCCAATTTCATGTTGGGACAAGTTTTGTGACAGACGGACAGACAGACAGACAGTGCACAACTAGACTTGGTACTGATCATTCCTGTAAAGTTTGGATAAAATTGCACCAGTTGTTTATGAGGAGTAGTCCCGACAAGCTTTTGTGTATCTGGCAACACACAGAAAAAAACACCTTTTTATCACAGGGCCATAACTTGGCCGGAAAACCCCTGCAATATGCGCAAGGCCTTGAGCTACAGATCAATCCTGTAAAGTTTCATTGAAATTGCATTAGTGGTATAAGAGAAGTAGTCCGGACAATCTTTAAAAATAAAAATTATAAAAGGGCCATAACTCTTACAAAAATCATTGAACCGGAAAATGCTGACAATATGCAAAACTAGACTTGGTACTGATCATTCCTGTAAAGTTTGGATGAAATTGCACCAGTATTTTATGAGGAGTAGTCCGGACAAGTTTTGTGACGGACGGACAGACGGACGGACAGACAGATGATGGAGAAGTGATCCCTATATGTCGCCACTACTCCGTAGAGGGGACACAAAAATAGAGCGTTACAAGAAATAAAAAATATTAACAAACACTTTTCTATATTTTCAGTGTGCACAAGAAAAAGCCCTGCAGTGTGCTACATATTTATTGGTTGTTTGGCTCCATATGGGTGGTGAGACTAAACAGTCATATTTCAATATATGCGTTCATAATTATATAGTGCAGCTTAAATTTTCTAATATGACGAGCAAATTTAATTATCAACATTGTTCACTGATTTTGGTATTAAATTTGATCTTTGTTTTTTTAAAGTTTTTTTTTTTTTTGGTAAACTGTCAATTTTTACCGACACTATGCATGTCATAAAATCATTTTCAAACATATTTGCAGCAAATTTAAGCACCTTTTAAGCACTTTTTAAGACTGTACAAACCCTGAATATCATATAATAATTATCTTTACCTTCTTCTTCCAACTTTATTACGGCTATCAACATTAGCAGGTTTACGGTTTATTTTCTTGAATGTGTTTTCTGTCAAGTTTTGTAGCAGTTCATTCATGTCACTGAAATAATCAAAAATATTTTATTATAAATCATTGTTTCATCTTGCTTTCTTTTGATGACATAAAACCTGTAATTTTGACAAGTTCACACATTGTCATCTTGTATTGAAAGATATGTCAACATTGTCAAGTCATAGTGTATGGCAACTTTCCAGCTTTTCTGGTGGAGAAAAACCTAAGGTATCCATCCCTTCATGAATTAATTCAGACATAAGCCAGCACCTGAGTAGAACCAACAACCTTCTGTAAATTAAATGGAGAGCTTTCTTTCATGATAAAATCTAAAGTTCCTGACAATATTCAAATACTCATAGTAGTGAAGCAAGGGTAAATGATTTTAAGACTTTTTTTTTTCATTTCTGTTAATACAGCAAATAAAATTTTAATCAGTGGAGATAAACAAATTGCATAATATCCAAATTGCAAACCAAGACACATAGATTTTTTTATCTACATACAATATGCTGTTTGTCTGGCTTTTATGTCAATTTCAGCACATTTTAAGTCATATCTCATCAGTGGGTAAAACCTTACTGGCTTTCCTGGATACATAACCAGTAATTACCATTTTTTACTAGTAAATGACCATTAAACATCATATCCGATATCAATTGTTACAGAGAAATTTTGCCTTGCATGATGATAAACCAGCAACTCCTGGATTTCAAATCTGATGCCCTCCCTATTAAGCTTAGTGGACTGAAAGATTGAGAGCGAACCTTTAGTTCAATCCAATATAAACACCTGTATCAAAATGATATCATGATATAAGTTCTACTGGTTACTTGGTTATTATCTCACAAACCTGTATGCCAGATCAAAAGACCAATGTGGTATATGCCGCTTGCTGGGTCTCGAGTCCTTTTTATATGGATGATACTGCCTCTCTCTTCGTTTATCACTTTTACTTGACACTTTGTCACTATCCTTGACCACCGATGATGCTATCTACAATGTAAATCAGATAATGATGTTACCTTAAAGCAGCTTGCTTACAGATGCGTGCTTATTTTCATGAAAATTTTGAAAATCTAAAAGTAGAATATTGGGAGGTGAACAAAGAAAGTAATTTACAAATTGCAAACCGCACTTAAAATCCATATAAATTTCCTAAAAAGAGGTAAAAAATATGCAGCAATAGCCCTTATTGTGTTAGTCATGCAGTATAAATATGGTGACAAATACTTCATTTATCACATATAACTATTACTTGAATCTTTTTACTTTTTTTAAAACCTTAGTATATTGTTCAGGAGTTTGACTTATTTGAAATATTTTGACCTATCAAGTATGAAACAAAAGCAATCCAGTGACTTGCTAAATATATCTGTATCAAATGTTTTCAATCTTGATATTTTAAAGAAACTAGCTCTTTGCCTGCCTCTCGAAATGTGCAAATGAAATTCATTGACAACAGTCCAGCTGTTTGTCATTTCTAGCTAGTCATTGACTTGAATAATACGACATCTAATTTTGGAAAAGAAGTCATCTATCTTTACATCTCATAATGATAAATCAAAATAAACTGATTTAGAAATAATTTTAACCAACACATTCTGGATGCTTGATGAATTTTCATAGCAACAATTTGTTTTTCTTCCTACCTTGGAAAGTCTTTTTCCAATATCACTTTCAGCAGGTGCATCAATTCTGTTATCAATTGATTGACTACGCCTTTCTCTTGATTGACTACGCCTAAGTCTATCCCTAGATGAGCTTGACTTTCTTCTTTCCCTTGATTTGCTCCGCCTACGTCTTTCTCTGGACCTACTTGGACTGCCTCTACTTTTTGATATGCTACGTCTCCTCTCCTTAGACTTGCTATCATGGCTTCTTTCTTTTGATCTGCTTCGCTTCCTATCCTGTGATTCTCTTTTATTGGAAACTATAGATCCTTCTTTTGAGCTGCGCAAAGAAAATATATATATATAAGTCAAACCTTCGTGAAACCTGCGTCAAACTTTATTGAATGAGAGAAAACTTGCAGAGTTTATATCTCTGGATAATTCAGTATTCATGTTTTCTTATAGGTTTTATTAAGAATTGCATAGCTTATATTTCAAATGGATCAAATTCAGAAAGTATCTATTTGCCAAATTATAAACAAAACTAACACTTACCTCTCATTCTCCATTCCAGATGGTCTTCTTGTCTTCACCTGGCTTATACATGATGTAGTGGATCTACTAGTAGGTGCTGCCATATTTGTTGTAACAATACCAAGATTGTTAATACTAGGATCTGTTGTATTATCTATTTTGACAGTTTCCTGCACAGCTTCACCTTTGTTACTTAAAGCATTGTCATCATCATTTAAATTTGCCATCTTGTCACTACCAGTCTCTTTACTAATACTTTGAACACTATCCTTGGCATTGTTAACCAGTTTGTATTCCTTTGAAGTATTATCTATTGCATTATCATTGTCGAGTACTATTTTCTTACCATTCACAATTTGTTTGTCTCTCTCAATGTAAGAACCTTTGTTTATATCTGAAAGTTTCTCAAAATTGGAATCTTTGTTAGAATTTGTGCCTTTCTCTATCTCTAAACTTCTGTTAAGTTCCTTGTCTTTTTCAATGTCTACACTTCTGTTACCCTCTATATATTTCTCAACATCACAACTTCTATGTACATCATCATCATCCTCTGAGAATGAGTCAACTGTAGTCAGCTTTGGTATCAACATCACATTTTCATTATCTCTTTTACACCAGCCTTGTTCATTGTTAGGAGCCCTATCCTTAGATTTCTCTTTCTGCACTTCAATCATCATCTTGTTTGTAAAGTCATTAAAACAACTTCTACCATCTGATTTGTTGTTACCACCACTGATCGTTACCTTTCTGTGAATTTTGCTGTCAGTCTTACTGTGTTCTGGATTAAATATTTCTACTGTATAGATTTGTTTCTTTCTGCCTTCAACACATTTCTTGGTAACATATTTGGTCCAGGATGAAGGAGTAGCATCATGGATAGATAGACAGCTTTCATACAGCTTCAAGCTGTCAGCTGACATTACACTCATTATCTCATCCCTGCAAAAAACACAAAGTTTTTGAACCTTGAACTTAACAATGATTATGTGAAGCATTTATACACTTGTTCTTTGATATAATTATACTTATAGATAGACCAAGAAATATCATCATGGGGCTTCTTATTTTATATATGAGCTTGTGATTATAACAAAATGGCAGAGAATGTGCCTTCATTTAGAAAACAGAAGAAAGTTTACTATAAATAACCTCATTTGTATGTAGATCCTTGAGTGATTTATTTTCAACTATGGCAAGAAAACTTCAGTGAAAATGTCTAAGTAATTGATGGAAGCATTTACAGAATACATATGTAGAACTACATACCTACTATAAACCATATCTTTGTGCATATAACAGTTCGCTCTAAATATGATACCGTCTTCAAACAATATTTGGAAAAGGAAAAAAATAGTTAAGAAAAAAATTATATCTGAAACTTTGCACAGTAAAACAACCTACCCATAGAAAGCAAATTTCACAAGTTTTGGTAAATCTAGTTGTGGTTCTATTTTGCCCTTCCCCTCCATTTCTACTGGTAGCGATATTTTCAGATTACTATCTGTCACCCGTACAGATCTTCTAAAAGATTTTACTTTCATTTTTTTCCTCTTTACATCTTGTTCAGCCTGATCACCTAAACCTTGGATGATATTTTCCTTTTCTTCTCCCATCTTGTTCTTTGAACTTTCAATTGACAAAGCATCTCTAACCATCTTTTGTCTGTCAAATCCACTTCCAACCATATCTAACATTTCCACATCATCATCTCTTTCATATGACATCTCTACGTCAAGATAATCATCACATCTTCTCTTAGAAATCTCCTTTACATTTGCTGGTTTCTTTTCGTTGTTCTTGATACAATCTTTGCCAGTCTTTTGTTTTAATTCTTTGAGCTGCAGATTTTCAAGTTTATTCCCAGACTTCACAGATTCCTTTCTCTCATCCTTTTCACTAACCTTATCTTTCTTGCCATCAGATTTCTTTCTTTTGTCTGATACACTTTCCTGTGGACTGACAGAATTTGGATTTCCTCTTTTAGCTTTGTTCTTTTTTGGAATACGTCCAAGATCTTTAGAAAGCCCAAAAAACATTGAGGAAAACACTGAAATTAATTGAATTGTATAATTATACCTTGTTGCATATTTGTTTGACTCCCTAGTATACACAAAACAACATCTATTTATATTGTTAGGAAGTATGACAGAAAATAACATGATAAATTGAGAATGTTAAAGGAACTCCACTGATGTCCAAAAGTCTAAATGAATTCTAAACATAGATATGGGTAACTTAACAGTGTTTGATCTGAAATTGTATACACAAGTTATCTTTATTGTTATAGTTATTGGACCTACATCAAATGGAACATTAATCTCAAAAAACAAAATTTCCAGTCCCAACATGTCAAATAAACCTTACTGGAGTACCTTTAACTGACAAATGAAATTAAAGTAATGAATGACTGGTTGCAGTATAAAATTTAGTTCAACAGCACAATTAAATCATGACAGGTGAAGTGAGAAACAATACAAAACTTGTGCTGAAACAAAAATAAAGATACTGGCTAATAAAGTATAAATCTTTTAATCTTTATAGCCTACTGGTGGCAACTAATTCTACCTATGTGACCAGTGCAGGCCAAGACAAGTCAGAACATCCCTGATACCTGATCATAATCATCACAGCTCACTATCTGATCAGTACTTATGCTCACTATCTAGTCAGTACTTATGCTCACTATCTGATCAGTACTTACGCTCACTATCTGATCAGTACTTACGCTCACTATCTAGTCAGTACTTATGCTCACTATCTAGTCAGTACTTATGCTCACTATCTGATCAGTACTTATGCTCACTATCTGATCAGTACTTACGCTCACTAACTTATCAGTACTTATGCTCACTATCTAGTCAGTACTTAATATTGCAAATTTCCCTAGCAATGATGATTTGTCTAGATTGAAAGACTGACCAGTCTATATAAAATATTTCGCTTGATAAGGGTTAATTTGGTATTAATTATGCTGAAATTTTGTTTCTTTTATCTTATTGTTAAAAACTGACATAAGCAATGTTTATAATGTCATAAGGAACAAAATTATAGGAGTGGCAAGCGCCACAAGCAATGTTTAGTGAGTGAGTACAGTATCAAACCATTGGTGCAGACAGACAAAAATGTACTCTGGGGGGGATTTTCAAATTTTCTTCTTGTTTGTTACATGGCCCCCTGAATATTTTCTAGTTGCTTAAACAGACAGTTAAATTACTTTATGCTGGAATTTTTGGGCCTCCATTAATTAAAGTTTGGGGGTTGTTTACTCCTTGATTTTGTTTGTGACTTCCAAAATATGATGATTCTCCTTCTTTACATATATAATGTGACATCCAATATCAGAGATATTGCAGTCTCTGACTTCAAAATTTTAAAACTAAATGGAAGCATACAAAACATCTGAGAACATAAAAGCAATTCAAACACTCATTCAAATGTAACATAAAACATGCACAAAAGTAACAAAACATCAGGCATTGTTTTAAAATTGCATCAGTAAGAACAGAAACATAAATATCAACAATGTTGTTAGCTGGTTAATGAGGATAAATTTGTTTGGCAACTTTAGAATGATATTCATAAATATATGTATCTTTCTGTTCCATCATTGCCATAGAAGTAAACTAAACTTAAAATATGTAAACTTCTTTTTTCCATTATTAATTGCGATGTTTCTAATTAAACCTAATGTTAAGGACTACGGGGCCGTTATGAACAGGTAAATATCAACTAATGTCAGGTAATGTCTTAATAAACCAGAAGCTGTTGTCGCTTTTTTACCATTAGTTTTGTATTCTTACTTTTAGTACATTTTTGTCATATGAGACAGTATGTTAAACTTTGATGTCATTCCTTAAGAAAATACTAAAGTGCTGCTTGCATACATGGTCATAACGATCAGTAATAATATAGTTAGAAGAAGAATGCTTATTGTTAAATGTTAAAACCAAAAATAAACTTTACAAAAATATTAATGTTATGGTTTACTAATTCTGGTACTTTTTCCTGACAAAATTGAAAAAGAAACAAAAGCAGCTTTACTGGTGGAAGAAGGCTTCAAGTGCCTCTTTGTGCATAATTTCAGGGATGAGATGGCACCTAAGCAGAATGTCGGAATGATCTGAATCCACAGGTGGGAGAGGTAATTGGTTTAAAGTCAGCAACTTTTAAACCACATGGCCACAAATGGCCTAAAACAAAAAATGAATCAAGTTTCAGAAAAGCCATTATTAATGCATAGTTCTATTAGTAAATAACTAATAAACAAGAACAGGTTTGTAAAACAGATTTATCCTCTGTAACAACATGCGATAAACAAAATACCTTGTTCAACATTATGTTTATTATGCCCAGCTGAGGGCTTATCACACTGGGATGTCTTGCTGTAAGTTAAAGTGTTATGATAACAACATGAATACTTGCACAGGCAATCTGTATTATAATACTGAAAACCTGGATTAGCTAAATCAAAAAATGTTTACATGTTAATGCTCAATACACATGATTATTTGCCTTTTGTTTGACTTGGTAAAATGAAACAAATGTCACTTTGTCAGTATGAATGATTTGCCTTAATTCTTTAACATAATAGATCATTTCCATCTAAATACTAACCTTGTGTGTTTCATACATTAATAACTTATAAAATTTCCTTCATGCCATATGAAATTCAAATATGCAACATACAACATTGAACTAAAATCATATGGTATATCAATATTACAACTGGTAGACATACTTTACCTTATCTTTTTGTGCTTTTCTGACGTTTTTGATTTCTTTTCTTCAGTTTTTTCTTTAATATTTTTCCTGAAAGATTTCATAGAGGACTCCAATTTTGACAAAATGGATTCTTTTTCAGGTTTCTTCAATTGTTTGTCCTGATTTTTAATCTCCGTGTTTTCAGCATCATTCCTCCAACTAACGTTTGATACATTTTTGGTTATATTTTTACTAGGTTTCAATGTTTCATCTCTTACGTTGTCATCAGATGACTTGTGTCTGTGAGCCGACATTTCCTCTTTTCCACTAGTCTTTGAATATTTATCTTTTCTTTTAGACTTATGTTTATGTGATGATTTATGTTTCTTATGCCCACTGCCATGTTTATCAGGTACAGAACCTACACTACTTACTGTCTCTGATTCTATACTGGTAATACTACATGCATCACTTGTAGTTTTGTGTCGTTTTCTACCATCTCTATCATTCAATTCCTGTTTTTCTCTGTGATTTTCCGACTTGTGTCTCTTCCTGTCTGGTAGAGTTTCTTCACCTACATCATTTCTGCCCGTCTTTCCAACAGTGACATGGTTTCTCTCTACATCAACAAAACTTTCTCCTCTAACTGTGTTCTCTACATGTTTTGTAGTATGCTCCATAGTTTCATTGTGTCCCTTTACCAGCTTACTTTCAATATACTGATGGTCAATTCTAGCACAACTTGTCTCCATGGTAACATGATCATAGGCTTCATACTGGCTCTGGAATAATGACGATACTGTGATTTTGGACAGCAGACTGGAAACTGGAGGATGTGTCTGGAATCCAATTGTATAGGGATCACACTGACCACCCTGACTGTGTTCTCCACCTCTTTGCCCTTCTCTAGTGTAATTTCTCTCACAAAGTTGACCAGCTGATAACCAAAAATAAAATTTATCAATTTTAAAATCTATGTTTAACCTTTCTAAATAAACAGAATTACAATACAAATAGTCAAGAAAAACAATAAGTAAAAATTAAGACAATTAGACTTTGTTTGCATTTGAAAATTCAACCATTAAATGTGATCTTGTTAATGTTTTTATTTCATTTTTTTTTCAAATTTCATTTTTTTTTCATTTCAAAATTGCCTAATCATATTCATAAAATAACATTAATATGTAATTAACCGCTAAAAGATAAATACTGTACTTGTAAATCATAAAGAATAAACCTAAAGTCCCCTCCGGTAAACCGGTAGGGGACTAATAATCATAGTTTCTTTAAAATGACTATCATAATATTAAATTTAACAAGAGCTGTCCAAAGAGCAGCCTGCTTCACATTTGTCAGTGCTTGATTGTAAACCAAACATTTTCTGACTGAATAATTTCAATTAAACATCACTAGGGTGAATAGGGCTCATCAAGGTGAAACCACATAAAATGTTTGAAGTTCCTGTGTTAATGCGCTTTATTTAATAGCTAGTTTTATGTTTAAAATGACCCTGACCCTGACCTTTTGACCTGAAAATTGGTTTGGCAGGTAAAACTCAACAAGGTACTTTCACAGAAGGTTCTTCAAGAGTTGAAGTTCCCAGGCCAATGCACTTCTTTATATTGCCAGTTTTATTTTCCTTTTCATAAATGGTCCCAATGACCTTTGACTTTTTAAACTAAATATAGGTGTGACAGGTATAACTCATCAAGGTTATAGCTTGAAAATTATTATATACTTAAACTTTGGTAAAAGTTAACAAACATTGCCACTGCCATCAAGTAGGTCATGACTTTAGCTTTGCTTCTTCTTTACCTCACTTTCATTACTATGTTATCTATTATCAAGTAAGACATATCTCATTTTTCAAAGTAATAAAAATCCTATAATAATTATTAATAATAATTTAGTAATACTAAACCTTTGGACAGATTGGACTCCCTTGACATATGGATACAATGTAGACCAACTATATTAGAACTTGATAATGATTGTATACCCAGTCTATGAGTTATCTTGTTGTCTGGCATCAATAGTAACTGGTCTCTTCCTATCTTCACTATAGCAACCTGAAAATAACTTACTTGATTAATTTTGTTAATGTATTCTCAGCCAGAGTATATTTTAAAAAATTTACTTAAGGCTTAAGTTTGTTCTCTTCTATACTATACTGCTGAGATGAGAAAGAAATTGTGGATTATACATTACAAACACAAATGCTTACTTAGTGAGCAGGGGTTGTGAAAAGACACACACAGATTGCATATCATAAAGGCCATTATCAATAAATATATCCCTTTTCTTGATGCATTTAAAAGAACAATAAATAAAGAACTTCCTTTGAGCAATGCAGTACTTTGTTTTTGTGCATTGTCCTGATTTTTATTAAATTTTTTACTTGATACTTGACAGGCACCATTTCATCATCTTATAATATATTATCTTGTATATCAAAGTAGGAGTGTATATATTTAGCTGCGGTAACTGATCATTATTTTACTTACTTCACCATTCAAGTATGCTGTCAGGTTGTTCACTCTTGACGTACAATGATATGCCTTTAACTGACATATATTGTAATACCAGCCACGACTCAGTGTCTCTAGCTGGGTAGACAGGCAGTTCACATTCTCAAAATAACACTGGTCAGTTGTCTCCACATCTAGTCTCCACTTCAAATGAATGTGACTGTTCCTGCAATGAAAGCATTAACTTTATTTTTGAGGATGTCCCAATTTTGAATACAAAGAATGAATAGAGTATAATACAACTTAAGTCTAATATTATTTAACATCTTGAGTAAAATGTAGTTACTAACCAAGGTGCCTATAGTGTAATGCTAACATTAGCGTGCTTTAACACTATGTTTGAATATAATGCAAATAATAACGCATCAGTGTTATTACTTTTTACACTTGTGCAATATCATTTTTACTAAATGGCTCCTGCTCCGTGGTTGATGTGATAAAAACAAATTATTTTTTACAGGTACTCTGTGATTAAAATTCTTAAACAAATTCAACAAGTCTTTTTCTTCATTTTTAATACTGAAAAATGAAGATGGTTTAAAGGCCCCAGACTTAAACCACATTCTTGTCTCTTCTGTGGGTTCGAATTACCAGAGACTTTGAAAGCTATCAAGTGTGGAATCTATCCAGCTAGCTCACCAAAGTTTGTTCTAAATCAGGTGTATGATATAGTAGACGGTGGTATAAAGTCATCTCACACCAATTGGAATATTGTTTCTTGAAGCTAACATTACAATACCTACAAGACTTGCATCAAAATCAAAAACAAGAGCATTGAATTGATATATTTTTTACAATATTGGAATAATGGGCCTTATTAAAGTTTTTGCAGAACGACAACAACAACACAGCAATCATAACAGCTCAATCTATTGTTCCAAACAGAAGAGCTGATAAAATATAGGAAACAATTTATTAACAGTTTCTTACTGCAAGAAGAAGTTGTTGATGCTGTCACAGGACACAACTTGAAGAGATCCGGTGAATTTACCTCCCACATACAGTCTAACTACAGTATCCCTCTCCTTATACTCCATCATTACTTCATCAACACTAAATCACCAATCATGTATCTGAAATTATTCCAAAAACAACAGGTATGAAATCAAAGTATATCCTCTTTGTGAATAAATGGATGTGAGGGGGCACAAAAAACTCCCTAAAATATCATAAATAGATAAAGACAACAACCTGACATCTGGTATTTTCCTTATTATACCACAAATTCCTAATTAGATATGCTTCATTTTCCTTATTGACGTAACAATGTATAAACGCACAAGATTTTTGCTCATTCAACTTAAGAGTCACACAATGTTAAGTACAGTGGAGACATGCTAATCCAAACCCTTCTAATCAAGAATCTTTTCCTGTCGGAACCAAGTGTCTGGTCTCGATTTTATTAGTTCTAGACTATTTTCAATATCAATTCAATTTCAGATTTGAAACCTGTCTACTCCAAATTGCGGACGATTTTTTTCAGTTTTTGTTCTTGTTTTAAATTAACCTCCCGATCAGATTTTTCCAATTTTCACACCAACAGCATCTGGTTCTGAAATCTGGGGATACGGTAATCTTGACGTTATTGAACGCGTACAACTCAAATTTTTAAAACATATCCTTAAACTTAAACGTTCGACGGCCAGTTATTTCATATACGGTGAAACGGGATGCATGCCATTGTCTGTAGATATCGGAGAAAAAATAGTTTCATTTTGGGCGCGTCTCCTTCAGAACGAAAATGGTTTAATACCAAATAAATTATCATACTTTGTATATCGTCATATGCTAAGAAATACAGTAGATATTAATGATAATGATTTTGAACGTAATTATCCGTGGATTTATAATTTAAAATCAATACTAATAAAATGCGGTATCAACAATGTTTGGATTGATCATAATTTTCCCGGTACCAAATGGTTAAAATTAACAGTAAAACAAAAGCTAAAAGATCTTTTCTTAAATGAATGGTATTCAAAGATAAATGAATCGAGCAATAGTTCTTTTTACAAAATTTTTAAAAAATCTTTTGGAATAGAACCTTATCTTTCGTACTCCCAAAATGCAATGATTTTTAATTATGTCAAATTCAGAACAAGAAACCATAGATTACCAGTTGAAACTGGAAATTGGTCAAATATACCTGTCAATGAAAGAATGTGCATTTTTTGTAGAAATATAATCGGTGATGAGTTTCATTATCTTTTCGAATGTAATAGATTTTCTAATGAAAGAAGACAATTTATAAAACCATATTTTTATAGACGTCCTAATATGTATAAATTAGAACAACTTTTTACAATGAAAGATTCGCCTGCATTTTATAAACTATGCAAATACTTAATGATTATTATAAGAAATGTAAGAATGTAATCAAATATTTATGTTTTCATTTTAAAGTCAGTTGTTATTTTGTAATGTTCTGAGATATAGTTTTGTTTTAATGATATTCACTTACCACTTTCTTACTATACAGCAAAGGTCCTTTATACCTCACATATACTTTTTTTTTATTTCTCATAAGAATAAGTTTTTGCTGTACTTTTATAGTATTAAACGAATAATCACTGGTTTATTTCATGAATCATCTTTCATTTCAAAATTTGCTTTTTAGAAATAAATACAAGTATAGTAAATAAGCATTTTGTATGGAAGTTAAAATATTACTTTATTTATTTTACAACTTTTATGACAAATTATATCACATTTATAGCTACATTCTCCTAGTAATAAATATCTTACATTCTGTTCAAGCAGTATTTTAAGTTTTCATTTTCTTAATAAGTTAAAAAAAAAAAAAAAAAAATTGTTTCCTAAGCAATATATGCATACAATTTAATAATATGTAATAGATATGTTGATATTGTTTAGTAATTATATTCTGATCTCAATTTGTATAAATGCCTCGTTAAATATTTTGACATTATCCTCATATTACATGTTGTATGCATGTTTGAGTGAATAAAAGATGTGTTGTTGTTGTTGTTGCATCCTCTTTCAATCAAAATAAAAAATGATTGCACATCTTGCAGGTGTAAATATACACCATAAGAGTAATTTTGATTGATTAATGGGTGAAACATATGGTCAGAAAGGTGTGAAAATTACACATAGCTTGCCTTGATAACTACTATAATTGCTTAAATGATTGATTTTCGTCACATTCAATAAATATTTTGATAATATGCATACACATAACTTTTAATCTTTTGCAATGAATTTAATGACATGGGATTAAATAACAGAAATTAATGGAAACTGTTAGTGTATTTGGATGTCGCCAAATCGAATAAGAGAAAACAACAATTATTGACAAATGCGAATATCTAATCATGTCTCAGTCTCCTATTTAACATTGTAGAGCTAACTTCCCCATAATATTTTTTTTTCTTTATTTGTATTAACATGAATTTAAATGAATGATAAGAGATTGCAAAAATTAAACATTTATGTTGCAGTTTCATATGCCCATTTTCTTTCCCTAAACTATCCTGCACATCACAAGTACAATCATATAACAAGAACGTGTTTGTTAAACACAAATGCCCCCGGCTCAGATTCTTGTCAGTAACAATATTTAAAATAAAGGCTGTATGGGCAAAAGTGTAAAAAATCCATTTTTAGCACTGGTGACCTTGACCCAACTGACCCCTAACTCCATCCAAAGGAAGAATAGCATGCAACTTATTTTCCTACCAAATATGATATAAATCTGTCAATATATAAAGCCTGTATTGGCAAAAGTGTAAAAATCTATTTTTAGCACTGTTGACCTTGACCCAACTGACCCCTAACTCCATCCAAAGGAAGAATACCATGTAAGTTATCTTCCTACCAATTATAATACAAATCTGTCAATAAATAAAGGCTGTATGAGCAAAAGTGTAAAAATCTATTAATAGCACTGGTGACCTTGACCAAACTGACCCCTACCTCCATCCAAATGAGAATACCTTAATTTTATGTTCCTACAAAATAATTATACAAGACATCTGTCGATAGAATAAGGTTAATACACCTGTAAAAGTGTAAATCAAAGCATAGAAGGCGCTGAATTTGTTTGGGTCTCAGAATGTCAGAAAGGTGAAGGTTGTGAGATTATAAACCAATTTGTTTTTGTAAAGTGCCACCAATGCTTTCCAGCGTTTTAATTGTAGTAAATTGGCTATAAGACTAATTTAAACACTGATATTCAATCCAATGTTTATTTGACTTAAACAATTAGAAAAAAAATTGAGTTGCCATAACTGGGATTTGAACTCCAGACCTCTCGTTTCCTAAGCGAGCGCGCAAACCCCTCGGCCACGGTGAAGTTATTAGTTAACAGCCTGACGAAAACTATATTATTCTATATTAGGGTTTGTAACGACGCTGTTGTTTAACAGCTGTAAATAATCATGGAGCTTACTATAAGCATGTATATCTATAAAGAACAAGACAATATTAGAAATCTTCGACCATTCGGGAATTTATTTGCTTGAAAATTAATGCGCCTGTCATTTGACCATCTTTACGCAGTGATCTCCCCTGAATTTTTCGGCATTAGTTTACATATAAAAGGAAGTAACTGCTTCAAAAAAGCGGACTACTTTCGGCACTTGAAATAAACAGCATTAGAGTCTGAAATTTCGCTACCATTATTTGTTTGGTCTGACGACCCAAACAAATAAACATCTATTTTTGACATTGGTGACCTTGACCCAAATGACCCCTTACTAAAGGAAAAGGAAGAGGACCTCCCTTGGTAAGACTATTATAAACATGAAAGACATTATGTTACTTAAAAATAAAGGCTGTATGAGCAGAAATGTTTATATTTTTACAGAAGTGACCTTGACCTAGAGATGCCTAACGCCACAAAAAATTAGAGGACCATTAAAGGTATCCACCTACCAAATATGAAAGATATCATTAAATAAATTAAGTAATTAGGCAGTGATTAATCTAGAAATTCCTTAGAATGTGTCGGATGACGCACATGTTTGAAAACAATGAGTCCTGTAGCAAAGTCAATGAGTCATGTAGCATAATAAATGCGTCTTAGCAGAATTTTTTTTTTTAATAGCAGATCCTTGACATGATTTGCATGTTTTTATAACAAGGGATTAAGTATTAAATAAGTGTATAAAAGTTATTTTTGGTACTAATATTTTTTGCAGGCAAAACAATTTTTATTGGCTGCTCAAAAATCTAATTTGCATAATTTATATTTTCTTACTACTTATGTCTAATACTTTAATTGTTCGTAATTTGCACAAAATGTCCCTGTCACACAGCATACTTACGACTTTTATTGCTCCTTGTATGCCTCTGTGTAGAAAGCATACACAGACAGACCTTTTGATCATGAAAAAAAAGTCATGCACAATTTTTCCCTGATTGGTTAATCACCCTGTCAAATAGATGACGTAATAGACATCTTTTTTTTTTTACACTCTCATGAACTTGAGTGACCTTAGGGGAAATCATTACACACCTGTCAGATTATACTGTAACTTACAGCATTTCTTAAAAAAGAAACACTTTTTTTTTCAGTTACCGATAATTATTTTAAATACTAAGTAGATTTATGATTTTTTGGTTGCTTTATTGGATTAAATTTATGGTAGTAGAAATGCGGTAGTAGAAATGCGTATCTGAGTGGGAAAGGGATTAGGTAAGTAGATAACTAGGAAAAATGCTATAGGGAAAGGGATAAACTCAAGAATATGCATAATTACAGTGGAATGGGTAACCTGTTGCTGTTGGTACCAGTTTCGTCTGGATGACTAAATAACATACAATATAAGTCTGGCACAGATTTTAGATGCGCCCCTGGCCCTTTGCTGACGATTTTCCTGTGCCATTCTCATTTTTTTAGCGTCAATGGCGCAGGCAGATCTTTGCCTCAACTTCGTTTATATTTTACCATTGTAGGCGAATCGCTCTCATTCAAAATGGACGCTCTGATTGGCTAATGCCGATAATGGGCGGTTACCGAATTCATTCAAAATGGACGCTCTGATTGGCTAATGCCGATAATGGGCGGTTACCGATTTGCTTGGGGTTTAACGTTTTAAGCAAATGGGGG